ATAGACGACTGAAAGCCTGTCCAGGTTATGCTGTATGAACCCGTTAGCCACATTTTGTTCCTATAAAAGGGAGTGTCGGATGTAGGAACTTAAGCGCTACACGCAGTGAGTACCACAAATCAAAAGCAGCCCCGCTCAGCACCCTGCAGCCCAAACATATTGCGCATATTAACGAAATTAGTAAAATACCAGAAAAATGCATTTCAAATTGGGTGCAAACAAACAGCGTACGGGCCTTTTTACTTTGCCAGCCTTTAGAGACCACGTAAAATGCCAATAAACTGCGAACGCGAAACTTTTTCTGGTGTGCTCTTTTCGCGTTGCAAAAAAAAAAACAAATTACGCTGCCACGCCCCCTTTGCAAAACTTGCAAATGGGTTTCGTGTTCGTGAACAAACTGTTAAATCAGACTTTATTCAGGTGTTGCTGACTTTTATGCAAAAAAACAAAATGACTGCGGCAATTATAGGTCCGTGATGTATATGTGTGTGTTGTGTTGTATGTGTGTGTGCGTCTGTGTGTGCCTGTTGTGAAAGTTGCCTGCACGCAACAAAACTATGTTTTCAATCGTAATTATGCAATAAAAATAGCAAATCAACCCGGGAAACAACTGTCTTATCTGCGCCCCAAGGTATGCAACAGTTTTTACGGCCATAGTTCAGTTGGTAAATCGAGCTACAGATTTGGCTTTTTATATAATTTTACGCATTATTTTTTTTTTGTTAAGTATTTCCAATCTCCGCAGAACATTTAAAAAAAAAAAAATTAAAATAAACTTATCTATACCGAATAGTTTTTTTTTTTTGGTATTAGCCCTGTCATTGGTCCCAAAAAGAAAATATATTATTTATTTATTTAATTTTTTAGTGTGGAATGTAAAAAAAATCCATCAATAACTGAAATATATGGATTTTTCCAGTTTGCAAATAAATTTTGAGAATAAGGCCTTGGTGCATTGTTTTATTGAAAGAAATACATACATATTTTGCTTAAGTACATTAATAATATTGCTAATATGTATGCAAAATAAACACTGATTAAAAACATGTCTGTAAAAAATAGACATAAGGGGGACTCGGTTGACACAGTCATATGGACATCTCAAGCGGAATTGCACTGCGGAATAAACCTTGATATTTGCTCACTTAATTAAAGTCCGCATAGTCCACTTAAAGACTGCATGCCAGCAACAGCCACAAAAATGGCCCAATGCCAGTTGATTCTGGCTCTGCTCAGATACGCTTTGCCCCTAACACCAATACTGGTGCATTTATTGCTGTACATATATGTACTGTTGACGAAAATGTGGAACAAGCACAGACACTGCGGCGTTATCATTGCACATTTCACTGTTTGGTGTAACAATTACAGCAAAGCCAACAACATTTGGCATACATTCAAAATTGCCAGCAGCCAAAACAAGCATATTTCCGTATCCTAGCCCCCTTTACCCTTGTCAAACTGCCTGCCGCCTCCTGTCATAAGTTTTGTGGAAATGTTTTTGATAATACTATGAAACAAGTCACATGCTCGTATTCTTTTCGGCACACATACACATGTATCTAGTTGGTTGTGACTGTAGGTTTTTTTTTTGGGCTTCCGAAAAAAAGGTTTATAGGTAATTGCTTTGTTTGTGCACCAAGATAGAAATATTCTGGTGTAAGTAGGTCTACTCATACATATCTTGACAGCACTTGGCTAACTGACATAGCGATTTTTTTGATAATTTTTTTTTATATTTAATTAAATATTTTAATTAAACATTTATTTGTATTTGTAATATTAATATACATATATTGATTTTGATATTTATTAAAGAAAAATAGTTAAGTACACTTAACTAAGAGTTAATCAATCAATCATAATGAAAGTTCATATATATGAGTGTAAGCCATCACCATGATCTCTTATTTAAATATAATTTAACAAATCAATCAATGTTGAATCTTAAATTGCCGGTCAGTCAGTCATAATGGCACAACAATTTAAATCTTACTTTAAGCCACCATGTATCATATTCACTTATAAATAAAATGATTGATTCAGTTAAATATATTTAAATCAGCAAAAGTTAAACATAAGTTGCCAGTCAGTCAGTCAATCATAATGATAAGTTACAGAACGATTTTAATCGGTACGTAAGCCAAATTCATTATTATGTGTTATATTTGTTTGTAAATATAATTAATTAAGTGAATGATACAGAGATATACTTAAATAAATGAATCATCGTTTATCTTTAATTTTCAACCAGTCAGTCAAGCAATCAAGTTTCTATATTGTTAAAAACCCGGCGACTTTTAACTGAAGACAGACAAATGGTGCATAGGCAAACTTCAAAGAGTCAGCCAAACATAATGATAAGTTATATAACAATTTTGACTGGAATTTAAACAATCAGCATGCTATGTAAATCTATTTTTAAAACTGCATTTCCTGATAAACGCACAGCCCGAACTTCAAGAGCTAAGAATCTGCAATATTAACTCAAGTCATATATTTAACAAGAATACCTTAAACGTAACTTCAAAAAAATAAGCAAATATTTATATTAAATTGCGTAGCTGGTAATAATTTTAGAGAGGGGACAACATTTTGATTAATTGAACTTGGTTTGATATTACAAAACCTATTTAATGCAGAGCGTACACGCACGAGAAATGACACGTCCTGAATTTAATTTAAAATGCTAATTGCATATGAAAATAAATCTGACATGACAATGCAGTAATAAAAATACAAATGCACTTCATTAGCGACACTCTAAAAAATATGCACATGCATTAAAACAAGCATTTCAAATAGACATGTAAATTATTTTATGAAAGCCAGCAAAATGACACCCTTAAAAGGGTGTTTTTTAAATCAGTGCACATTTATTGGAAAAAGAAGTCGAAGAGTGCATAAAATAAAAAAAGTATCCACCTCCTATTTTACCTATTGAATTAGTAAAGAACAATCGGAAAGACGGACATAGGTAGATTGACTTAATGAATATGAATATAATTCTTTATGGGGTCGGAAATGCTTTCTTCGTCCTTTTACATATTTGCACAAAACTACTATACTCATACAACGCGAATATACCCTCTTATGGCAAAAAAAAGGTGGGAAGCTATTTTTTGATGAAATATAATAAAATAAAATATTGTTAGCACTTTACTTACTTACATTTTTGTTATAATGGAAGCTATTTTTTGATGAAATATAAGAAAAAAAAAATATTGTTAGCACTTTACTTACTTACATTTTTGTTATAATGGATATAGCTCTTTTTATATCCCAGTTGACTTTGGCTGTTCCAATGGCATACATCAGGAGTTGTTTCTACTTGAAGATAAAAAGATGGACACATCGATATGATCGACGATAGCCAAAAGGAGGTAATTTCTGTCTAACTGAAAAAAAAATCTTCTTTTGCCACTTACCCATCTTACGGGTCCGGGGCAAAAAAAATGTGTCAAAGCAAGGGACTTTTGCATGCACCAAACAGCAGCAAGCTCATATGACTGTCACTTACTCTGAAACAAATAGTTGTAGTTGAGTAAAAGCCAGGCTGGCAGTAGCAGGCTTTGGATTTGGCTTTGGGAAAAAGCAAATGAACGCGCACAGTTTTAAGTATCTGCAAGATACAATTGCGTGCCAAGGCACGTCAAATTTAATGCTGTCACACAGAAACTGCACAAACAGATACACAGTTAACTGACAGGACAATGCAATTGCTCGAAGTGTTTCATTGCAATAAACCCGAAATGGAAAAGGTCTTATAAAGTGCGTAACATGACTTAGCTTGACAGAGCTGAGCAAATCAAAATCAGGCACTAAATATTTAAATGCACAACTGGGCGAAATGAAGATATAGATTTAGATATAGATATAGATATAGATATAGATATAGATATAGATATAGATATAGATATAGATATAGATATAGATATAGATATAGATATAGATATAGATATAGATATAGATATAGATATAGATATAGATATAGATATAGATATAGATATAGATATAGATATAGATATAGATATAGATATAGATATAGATATAGATATAGATATAGATATAGATATAGATATAGATATAGATATAGATATGATATAGATATAGATATATATAGAATAGATATAGATATAGATATAGATATAGATATAGATATAGATATAGATATAGATATAGATATAGATATAGATATAGATATAGATATAGATATAGATATAGATATAGATATAGATATAGATATAGATATAGATATAGATATAGATATAGATATAGATATAGATATAGATATAGATATAGATATAGATATAGATATAGATATAGATATAGATATAGATATAGATATAGATATAGATATAGATATAGATATAGATATAGATATAGATATAGATATAGATATAGATATAGATATAGATATAGATATAGATATAGATATAGATATAGATATAGATATAGATATAGATATAGATATAGATATAGATATAGATATAGATATAGATATAGATATAGATATAGATATAGATATAGATATAGATATAGATATAGATATAGATATAGATATAGATATAGATATAGATATAGATATAGATATAGATATAGATATAGATATAGATATAGATATAGATATAGATATAGATATAGATATAGATATAGATATACTATTACTCAACTGGGCATAATTTAAGCCCAGCTATCGTTTGCAGACCGTTATTTACTCCGATTAAACTCTGATATTTGTGACCGTGGCGTCCACTTAACTAATTAAGGATGACATCGATTTGCTGGGGCTCATTTATTTCGACTTAGGCGCAATTAGGCACGCCTACGAAGTTCGAGACGACAACTGTTTCTGTTCACAGGAGCATGCTAATTGAGAGATTTCTGAGCAGGCTAATCAAGTGGGCGTGGCATTGCTAGAAACCGCCAATTATCAATTCGTCGCTGATGCTATAAAAGCGGCGTAGCATAGGGAGGATTCAACAAAGTACCTTACGGAAATGGGCTGGAAATTAAGGACGCGGACGGTGCCCACGAGGGCAATAAAAACTAGGAAAACTATACCATTGGATAGTTTTTTCCGCTATGTGGACGTCTTTTACTTGTCCATCGGCATGGTGCCCTACGATCTCAACTCAAAGGACTCAAGTGTCAATCGCAATTGGCGTAGGATAATATTGCGCTCTTACTTCGTTTTCCAGATGATGAATCTTAATCTGGTGCTCCTCTCGGAGTTGATCTACGTGTTTCTCGCTTTTGCCAGTGGCCAAAATTTCCTTGAAGCCACCATGAATCTATCCTTCATTGGATTTGTTGTAGTCGGTGACATAAAGATTCAGCATATCTGGGGCAAGCGCGAGCGTCTCACACAGGTTGTCCGGCGTCTGCAAGAATTGCATCCGGTGAGCGCGGAAGAGCAAGCGATATACAAGATAGATGAGTACCTGAGCGGCTACAAATGCGTAAGCATCTTCTATTTTGGCATGCATCTGGTGCTTATATGGACCTACAATCTATATTGGGCTGTCTACTATTTGATCTGGGATTTCTGGCTGGGCATACGTCGCTTTGAGCGCATGTTGCCCTACTACTGCTGGACGCCGTGGGACTGGAAGAACAATTGGAGCTACTATGTTATGTACATCTCACAGAACCTGGGAGGCCAAGCATGCCTGTCCGGCCAGCTAGCGGCGGACATGTTTATGTGCGCACTGGTCACGCTGCTAATTATGCACTTCAGACGCCTGGGCTCACAGATCGAGCGGCATGTGGCAGGTGTTTTACCTGCCAAGCAGGATCTGGCTTTCCTGCAGGCCAGCATCGTTTACCATCAGCATCTGCTCTTTCTGTGCCAGGATATAAACGAGATCTTTGGCGTTTCGCTATTTTGCAACTTTGCCAGCTCCTCGTTTATCATATGCTTTGTGATCTTTCAGATGACCATCGGCGGCAACATAGATAGTCTGGTTATGCTGGTGCTCTTTCTCTTCTGTGCCATGGTTCAGGTATTTATGATCGGCAGCTATGCGCAGCGCTTGATCAATGCGGTGAGTAATCGCAATGGCTTCTAGCTGGATCTAAGCTATTTTTCCGCAGAGCGAGCAAATTGGCGAAGCGGTTTATAAGCATGACTGGTTCCTGGCAGATCTGCGCTATCGCAAGCTAATGCTGGTGATCATCCAGCGTGCCCAACGTCCCAGTTACCTAAAGGCTACCAATTTACTCAAAGTGTCGCTGGTTACCGTGACAGATGTGAGTTAATCCTATACGATTCTTATGCAGGCAATGTTTTTCAGAATATCCTTTGCAGCTGCTGCAACTGTCCTACAAGTTTTTTGCCCTGCTGCGCACCATGTATGTCCAGTAGGGAGAATGTGTGTGAGATGGTGTGCGTGACATAACTGTAAGGTTTTTGTCATTGTCAGCGAGTGTGTGTAGCGGGCAGCATATGCAAGTGACAAAATGCACGGCGAGGCGGATACGGAAACGGCCAAATCATGCCAGGACAATCATTTACGCCAACTCCACAACAGTTGCGGCTTCTAATTAAATTAACCAACCATCGCGCACAAGGCACAACGCAGAAGGTATCGATTAAAAAAAAAGAGTGAAAAAAATGAAACCGAAAACTGCGTCCATTGGCCATAATGAGTAGTGAAAATCCGACGCTGATTCCGCTGTGGCCTGTATAAAGCAGCCCTGCTGCACAGTGGGGAGAAAACGAATACTTTGTGATTGAAAATTAAATGAATGAACCTATAAATCACTGATCAAAATATTTGTCTAAGTGTGGAGTAAATAGGTACTAAGCTGTTGCACCAAGACATTGCCTTTCCAGCTTTCAGTCTAGTAACTGATTTAAATATTCGTATAATTATGTAGTAAATAGATAAACTATGAGTCAGGTATACATAAGTTTATGTGCGACCAAATTGTGCCTGGTGACTCTTCGGTAGATATAGACTTTTGCAAAAAGAACTCTGAACACATTATCTGGTTATATTTGCGATTAAATATCAAAAGCATGAAGTCTCTAGCTTCAAGAGGTTTGAGAATACAGACTTGGACATTGCACACACGTTGACACTAGTTCTTAAAATAAACATTCCCAAAAAAAAATGGATCCTCTTTCTGGGAAAAGCAGTTGTATTTTGTCTCTATTTCTAAAAGAACTGTTAATAGCAGAGTCCGTAGAGATGTGCGCTTGTCAATTTCATCCAGCACGAGACAAAAACAAACAATTTTAATATTAATTTGTAAATATTTTTTGATGTGGATAAAATAATTTACAGAGTGTTCAGTATATAACCTTTAAGTTAACTCATGTCACATTTTCTTGTCCACTGTACAGTGGCAGATGAAAGCGATGAAACAGCGTACAGCTGGCATTAGACGTGGCTAAGTAACCACAAAGGCTATGATTAATTATCGCCATTTTGTTTGCACAAAACGCGCGTGAAATGCAAGACAAATCCTTCACGTTGGTCTTAAATTAGCAACGTGGTGCTGAACTCTTGGTCAACGCATCAACTATATAGTCCTTTTATTAAGAATGTGCCGCCATTTTAATTAAAGTTGTCGGAGAGGCAGAAACGATTGACATTTAGGCGCGGCGCCTGAACTTATGCAACACTTAAAATTAATTGCAAAATTGGCTGGCAAATTGCATTTTTATGACTGTTAAATTGAAAAGCTGACATAACACTCACATTGAGAAGTCTAACTGAGTTGGAAAGAGAGCGCAAAAGCAAAAGTATAGCCTCTGAACGTGGCTAATTACATTTCTACGGCTGTCTGACTTGAGCCTGGGCGGGTGTGGCTAAAGCCCAGTCAAATGGATGGCAAAATTGAAGAATTTTTTCAATTAAAATTAGCAAAAAGGCGGCAGCAAAAAGAATGCGGAACGCTCGCACATCCAAATGGCAATCACAGCCCTCAACGGACAACTCGAAAAGTGGGCGTGGCTGGCTGTTAGGCCGACCTAATCTAATTAGAAATACGCGCGTCACGAACTTGACTTGAACGACTCCCCAATGTGCAACATGGCGTATGGCCAAATAGTTTCGACTAATTTCATTTGTATTTGCAGCTTTCATTTGCAAAGTTGTAAAAAGTTCTGCCGACACCCAACCCCAACCACAATAAAAGTCGCGCCATCACTCGGCTGTCCGATAGGGGCCAAACCACAGACGTATTTCCATTCGATGCCAAACCGCAGGTGTGTCTTTTAGTTGGACTTTCGTCTTAAGCCCTTAACAGGATATTGTGGCGCGTTGCAAGTAGGTTGGAGCGGCTTTTAAAGTTACAAAATATACACACGGCTTGAAAGGTATTCGAATAATACAATTGTAATTTTTTGTTTATCTAAATAAATATATATATAGCTACAATAACCACACCTGCCTAGTTTTTATCTTAAAAATATACTTTTTGAGTTTTAAGATATTATCCGATGTATGGTATATGTTGAAAGACTCAAGAAAGAGTCCAGTAAACGTATATTGCCTTGTTTGTCTATCCACTTGTCTATTTCTATCAGACTACTATAACTATGTAATAATTACTAGTTATAGTAAAGATTTGTTTTTACTGTAAGCAATATATAAAAGAATTTCGGGTTAAGCCGGATATAGAATGTAGATGCTTAGTGAAAAACCTTTTTTTTAACTTACATAATCTTCAAAAATGTTGATAAATATGTTACCGGATCAGACCCGCTTGTAATGTAGTTTCTACGTTTTTAACATATTCATTCACTTGGCGAAGAACTATCTTTATGGCACGCATTATATACGTCAGACTATCGTTTCATGTTAATTTGAAATCAATTATTGCAATAAATGATAAGAGGGTAATAAAATATTTAACTAAAGTATTTAACCAGTTGCCAGAATGACTGGCCCACTCAGACAGTTCATCGGCTACCGTCTGCCTATAAAGATTTTATTATACATATTCTTTATACTTTATCAATCTTCTATTGTCAACGGAGTACCATATAAGAAATCTATCATAGATCAATCTGTCCAAAATACCTATTAATATTAGAAAAAAAAAAGTGTAAAAATATATATACACGTCGGAGAGGAAGTACTGTAGCATCTCGATAGGCATGAGCCCTTAAGGTGTGACCATGGGATGTGCTGGTAGATACTGGTTCTGGTAGAATGGGGACTCAGTTTGCGAACTGAGGCTGTGTGTGGCTTCGTATGCGTTGCTAGATCTGGTCTCTCTCTTGTGGCTGTCCTGTGTTTCATGTGTCTATTTAAGGGACAATAATGAGCAACAAAGGCAACGAAGACTCGCTGCATCCTCCAGGACTGAGTACGGAACACCAGAATCCGAACGACCAAGCGACCAATAATGACGACCCGCAGGGAGATGACCTTAATTCTCCGACATACATTTCTACCTACGCATTCAAAATACGCTTTTATGTCGTTACGAGTTATTCCAACGTTTTCACGTGCAATTCTTTTCTCATTTTTCGTGTCACGTTTAACTAAGAGGCGCCCATCTCTGATAGGGAGAAAGAACGTGAAAGCCAATCCACATTTAATTCCACGAAACACAGTGAAGTAACAATGGCAAAGAAAAAAAACAAACTTCAATGATCTTTATGTATAGAGACATATTGGGCGAATAAATTAGTTCGGAATACAAAGTTTAAATATGTATGGGCAAAGTTTTGCTGCCCCAAATCAGTAAGCAGTGCAATTCTGTGCTTCCAAGGATATATTGACTTATAAAAATGTCAATATCGAGGCAACTGGCAATGGGACGCATTGTGCGCCAAGAAAATTGCGATTGCAACCAGAGTTTTTTTTATTTCTCGCATCGTGTCGCTCGTTGAGAAATTGTATTTCATTTCATCAAATGAAGAGAAATCGTACATTTTTATAAGGTCAGCTCAGTGAACGTCTGTGGATTGCTGGCAGCCTAGTGGGCCAATGCATTGTCGAGTCGAGTCGTCTCGAGTTGAGTCCTTGGCGCCGCACTAGCTGCACATCACTTTGTCACACACTTATTGAATTCGACATTCGAGTATGTACAGTATACATAACCATTTACGACATATATACATACATATATACTGGTGTGTGGGGGTTTTTTCCCGAAATGGGAAAAGGGAACGGATTACAACCAATGCCAATTTTGAAGCATTTTTCATATGACTTAAGCTTGACGCTTGACCCGCCACAGGGACAACTTCCGGGTGGAGTAACCCCCAGTCCCTCTTCGCAATGACTGCATTTGTCAATTCTCACTTAGTTCATTTGAGTAAACACATTTGCTGCATTTCATATTTCCAGTCACGTTCTTAGCATAAATAACACACACACACACACACACACAGACGAGGTAGATGACTGCATACATAACATATTGTTGTGCATATTTCATAGACTTGAATAAGTCAGCTTAAATTGTAAAGTCGTATTACAGTGCACTAAAAGTTTTGTCTAAGCATAAAAGCTGCTTACTTATTTATAATTATAGACAATACGAAATCGATTCCTGTTTTTCATCTTTACCTACATTTTTTTGTGAAAGTTAGAAATCAACGTAACAATCAAACATGGTATTTAGCAGTTTTTTATTTGCTGAAAATAAAATGTTTAATTTGGCAGCCCGACTAGCTAAAATAAAATGTATTGCTTTCTTAACAAACCATTTGGATTTTATTACAGAGTACATTTATTGGAGGTCACTTATTTATTATCCTTATGCCATAATTTTTTAATTTTGAAAATAATTATAGGGTACCAAACACCTACAGTTTAAAAACTTGACAGCACGTGCTCATTTTTTTTAAATTCACCAGCCGCACTGTACATCTATGCATGTACTTTTGTTGAAAAGGACTTTACTTAATACTCAAACAACTAAAAACAAATTAAACAAAATCATAGAAAACTTTCAATTTAAATACATTTAAATTCAAAGATATAATACTGTATTTTATTTTTATATTTTAAATGTCAGTTTTTTTTCTTTATTTACAATAAATCTTATTTTGTTCTTATATTATTTATTCAAGTTTACTTCCCTTGCTCACATTATTGAGGTAGGCAGTATATGTTAGAACTGTCATTTGATAAATTGTATAAATATTTATGAATAGGTCCTTTCTCTGCGATTCTCATAAATTTATGTAACAGGTGGCAACTCCTACTCTCCCTTTACTTAAGTCTCTTGCACACTCTGTCTTCCTTTATCTCTCTATTTCTATGTCTTTCTTTTTGTCTCTCCACTTCTCCGTCTCCGTCTTCCTCTTTGTCTCTCTTTGTCATTTCATTCCTAATTGTACATATCTATATACATGTAAGTATATTAAAAAAAAACAAAATTATATATTAAAGCAATTCAGATCTGGGCAGCTTCAAGTTCGGTTCGATTTGCTATATATATAATATATATAATATATATATATATATATAATATAATATATAATATAATATAATTTACTAGGGCGTATTGACCGGCCTTCTACCCATCTTGATCTCGACTTCTTTTTAAAAATATGTTTTAAGTGCCATGTGTTGGAATCAACGGCTTCCGTCCATGTTAGTCTTGTGGTAAGAATCTTGAAGATAACGATTTTTTTGATTGATATGTCTTATGTCTTAACGTACTTAACCTCTTCATCACATAAGGTAACTACAGTGAAAACTGCAACTTCGTAGCTCTTACGATTTGGGCTGTGCGTTCACCAATCAGTCAGTTAGTCAGACAATCAAGAAAAACAGTTTTATATATACGGATAAATAGAAAAAAAGCAGACACTTATTTAAGTGTCCAAGGGTAAACTTATCTGTAAATGTTTCGAACATTTTCAGGTACTTAAAATTGTTTGCTGGAACTTTTGGAGCATTTTCACTGAGATATACAATTGTTCAATCAAAATTTTAAAAAAGATTTGTTTTTATCGCTTTGCTCGGCCTGCGGGGCAAGCAAACAAAAGAAATTAAATTTGAACTTTACTGAAATCTATTTTATTTACAGAAACTTCGCACGCTTTTTGTCGTGGTTTCTCTACAATGTTGTTGTTTATTTAGTCAGATAAATACCCAAAATATTTTCATCAAATACATGGTGTATGCCACAATCTTCGGCCAGAAAATAAAAACTAAACAAATGAAGGCCTGTCCGCAAGAAATTTATAATAACCGCGAAATAAACAAAATCCGCGAACGCTACCGCAGGAATTTAAATTAAACGAAAATTGAGCTAAAAGCATTTCGCAGCGTAAAGCCGAAATTAAATTTTGTACAGCATAAACTAAAATTTAACGCAGCGTATTTTAGCAAATCGTTTTTAATATTAGCATAGCATTTGCTATAAGTACAATTTTTTCTTAATAATATTGTATATTATAAAAGTAATATTTCAATAATTGTCTCCGCACAGATTTATGAACGGTATTTAATTAGGAATAGGAAAAGAGAAAACCTTTGCCGCATCTTGTTTGATGTGGGATCGTAATTATGAGAAATCGTTAGATTGTTATTATTAATTTAACAACAAAAACAATGCCAAGCACCCTAACCTGTTGTCAATCTCAGTTTCCATTCACATATTGATTTTACCATCATCTAATTTTTTACCAAGTAATTTCACCTAGTGTCAAACACAGTATTCCTTCACATATTGATATTAAACAATGCTTAAATGTTTTCACTGTTTAAATACTTAAATTAAAAAGATCTTCGAATCTTTCCTCAAATGTAAGCAATTTGGATAACTGACCAGAAAGAACATGTTGACTCACATTTAAAATCTGTAGATACTTCATTAGTTCCAGTTATTTCTAGGCTTTCATTTGCACAAAATATATTGTAGTTGTGGTCTATTTCGGATTGGTACATTTTGGCACGGCTGCTGTAAAACGGTAAAATTAGAAATCCAAACAATAAACATGAAACAATAACATTACAAAATTGTTCCTAGAAACACACACACGCATACGTACACACACGCTCATACACACACACACATGCCTTAAATGCTTCAGCAACAACAACAATTTCTGAGAGAATAACAATGCGAGCATGTAGTTCGACATTGCTGAAATGCAATCGCAAAACGCTGCTCACAGGCTTCGCCAACAAGCACAAATACACATGAGCCACAGCTCAAACATACGCACACAGTCACGCAGACACACACAGACACAGAACAAAACATAAATAAACGTAGCCATCAATAGTTGTTGTACAATTTTCAACTGTTTTGCATCGAAGCGTACGGCACATTTATTTTGCAATTTATCCAAGGGATTCTGTCCGGCTTTCAAATTGCCCATACGCACCGTACGCCCGGCTACTCTAGACGGACACATTGCTATTTACAAATACTTTACGGTGCTCAAAAATCGAGTGCACACAATCATAAACAATCAAATAAATAATAATACTCGTTGCATCAAGCCCTCTAACACAATACATACATACGAATGTGAATAAGAACAAATCAACAGCCATACGTCAATAAGGAAAAAGGGTTAAGGGTGAAAATGTACATGTACTACTGTTATATATTTTGCATCTTAAGTATTACAATTTATTTATGTGTGCAAATGTAAATACATGTATATGTACGTATGTATATATATATGTTTGTAAATATGTGTATTTATATACATTAGTGTGTATGTATGTTCTTTTAAACCCACGCTGGATAGATTTTGCCCTACTCTGCGATTCTCATGAATTCAAGTAGGATGCCTTCCTGCTTTGATTAAGTATCGTATATTAACAAGTTGTATTGCCAACCTAATAAGCTGCATCTATGGGCACGCCCTCTTGATCTCAGACACTAAAAAATATCTGATTGATTTCCAAGCTAATTTAATAATAATTCAGCGCTTAAATATACACATATATATAAAAAAAACTAGCTGATTTGCACAGTGCAGGTGAAGTTTCTAAAAATGATGAAATACTTATGAACTAAGTTCTTAAATTAGTTTTAAAAATAAGCTTAAAGTTAATCGAATCACCGATCAGGCTTGGGATGTGCGAAAATTGTGAAAGATGTCTTAATTTAATTTTCATAAGGATCCTTGAAATTGAATATGAACCACCAATTATTTGACCCCCATTTTCAGCAAGGAGGGATATATTTTTCGAAAAATGTGAAACTCCTCTCAAATGAAGCTCAAATGGTGCAATTGGTTGGAATTTCCCAAGACCCCATGACTGCAGTAAAAATGTATGTAAATGAACAGCATTTATCACAGACTTATCTGGTCAATGAGGACCGACAGTTTTAAAGAGATATACAAAACTGGATTTTTTCAATATAAACAAAAGTTGTAATGGTCGGAACCGAATTGTTTTTTAACTTTATCTTATAGTTTATGAGCGACATGTTATTTAGAAGGCTTTGAAAATGTTATATGTTTTATATACATATATATATATTTTTATTATACGACTTATAAAAAAAACATTAAAGTATTCCAAATTAAGTGTTGTAATAAAATTGCTTACAAAATGAACGTACAAGAATCAATTAGCAGATTAGACAGCGACGAAGCATTGAATATATTAAATGAAGACGCAGCTAGGCTACCTCCTGAGGTGGCACCACAGCTAAAGCTATCCCTCAGTGAGAATATCCGGCGTGAGGTGGCCGCCCTATTGACGGCACCCAACTTTATGCGCGAAATGGCCCAAGAGTTAATGCTACTGAGTGCGCCCGAAAAACCAAGCTCAGAAACCGAATACGTAAAGCTCGACGATCTCAAGGAGATTGTCGGCAAGCTCATAGCCCGCAATGTAGTTGGCCAGAGTTTGGCGACGCTGGAGGACAACAATAAACAGTTCGGTACGATGATACGCCAAGTGGAGGAGCAGTTGCTGCAGCTCAATAAGCGTGTGGACCAGCTGGCACGTGATTTGCAGGAGATAACGTTATGCGAGGAATCTGAACAACCCAACAAATGTGTGAAATGCGACGAATCAAAAGAAACTCACAAAAATGTGAAACTGTCCGAGGAGTCGCCAATGCGATTAACCGGCGGTGCTATAACACCGTTGCCCTACTTCTGTGACGAAGAACCAGACACGGTTGATAACACCCACCTGGATGACATGTTTGCCAAACCAGACAAGTTGCGCATCTATAATGATCTCATCTGCAGATACAACAAACAGTTAAATAAAGTTTCATCCAGCGAGACGTCCGCGCATTCCAGCAGTGTTTCGAAAAGTACCGCACTTGTGACACCACTCACCAAATCAAAAGCTGACCAAATGTGGGATTCACCTTCGCCATTCGAGTCCAGGATAGACTGTGCGCAACTCCGGAACGATGCCGAGCGACATGCAGCGGAGCGACGCCAGTTTGAAACCAATATGCTGATGTACCGCAAGTCACAGTTCAGTCTTCGGCTGAACAGTCGCATTGATAAGTTTTCCTTCACGCTGTGGAATCGAGTCCATGCAGCCATGGACTGCAAACAGCCTCAGAAATTTGAGTAACATACAACGCCAGCATTGTAGGATTAGTCCAGCTAGAGATAGTTCCAATTGACGCATCCATTTAAATATAGCTTATCCACTCAAATAAATGATACATTAAGAAAACAAATTGTAGACAGACATGTTTGATGAATAGTTTTATTAACCCTTGGAGTAATGATGTGTTAGGAAACATGCATGGTGAGTAAGAGGAAAGAGAAAGTGTGGTGTTGATTTCAATCAAGTAACAAGTTTTGACGATTGTTTTCAAACTGTTTTAAAACTGGGATCAGGAAAAAATCTGTATGGAGTGCAAATGAAAACGGTTTTCAAAAGGATATCATGAAATGATGAACACATCGACACATCTTACAACATTGTTTTAGTAAAAGCATCACATTTAATGGAAAAGGGACTTGTAGGGAGTCATTTGCTTAACCTCTCGTCATGCCAGCTCACTCACATTTGTATCTAGCTTTAAGTGTCGCTGTTCAGCTAGTAACTGCTCCAAGGCTAGTAGCATTGCGTCCAGGAAATCCGATAGGGTTATCTTTTGGTTAAGCTCAAACAGATCTCGGCTCGTGTGATGAGCGTGAGCTAACAGCGGCAACTTGCGCAGGGTGCGCCCGCTTAGACCAACACTGCGTTCGGCCAGATTAGTCAGCAGATCCTCAGAGTCCTCTTGATTGCCTTCCAAGTCCTCTGTTCTCACAATGCCCCTCGCCATCAATTCGGCCAGCATTGACTTGTAAATGGAGCCTATGGCTGCTATAGCCGGCAAGCCAATAAACTGACGTATATCTGCGCGATCCAAAAAGGCCAAGTCAATGCACTGCGCCAAGTTTGAAGTTGCCAAAATGAGCACATTTGGACAGGCCTTTATATCATCCAGCTGGGTAAGCACCGCATTAACCACTCGCATGGCATCTCGCGGCTCATTGCTGCTCATAGCACTTCGTTGATACGCCAGGGATTCCACCTCGTCAATAAGCACGCAAACCAAATTGTTTTTGTCCGCCACGAGCTCACCGATTTTGCCAAAGAGACGCGCGACCAATTTGCCACTCTCCGAGAACCACTTTGAAAACAGACTGTGGCTGTTGATCTCCACAAGATGCGTGTAGGCGAAGCTGCTTTGTGTCCTAATGGCGAGCTTTTGAGCGAGCGCCTTGCACAGACTCGTCTTGCCAGTGCCAGGTGGACCATGCAGTAGCAACAAGCGGTTGCAGGCAATCACATTAGTGTCTACACAATGCTGCGAGAAACTCAAAGCGGACAATGCGAATTTAAGCAGCTGCAAAATTCTGATATAACTACATGCATATACTGTATATACATTTGGTAAAACATACCTTTTCCTTCAGTCCTTCCTCGTAAATCAAATTATCCCAGAGGCCAACAAACTCATTGGCAGGCAGCAGGACATGATTAGCAGCTATCACACTGTCTAGGCTATCGGAATTGCCATCGCCTTCACCGTCAAATAGCCCACCGGCTGATCGCAGCCCAGGACGATGCGTCGTGTAGAAATGATAGCAAAATTTCAACATATTATGATCCGGCTTTACGGTTCCATTTTCGCCGTTGTCTTTCTCCAGCAGAATACTCTCAACAGATGGAAGTTTTGTGTCCGGAGCGAATGCAACATTCCAGCGCAACGTTTTTAATGATTTTAAATATGCGTCCAGTTGTGGCTCGATTGCCGCTCGAAGCGTCTGCATGCGCCTGTGAGAAAAAATAATTTCAGCAATTTTATATTATTGCAAAACTTTTAACTCACTGCTCGCTGCGCTGCATACGCACTTCCACATGCACCGTATTGTTATTGCTTAAAAAACTCATTTGTGTTAAGAAACGCGCGAATTGAATGAAAATTTTAAAGAATGCCAAAGATAATGTGACCGCACATTTTGTTGGCAAAATATTTGGCAGACGATAACAATCGATACCTAGCTAAAACGCCGGTTCATAAACTTCAGCATATAATATGGAAAACATTTACATTTTTTATGGTATTAAAACTAGCTTTAGTATTTAATCGTCGATTCCAAAAAATACTTGTTAAACTTGCGCCATCCAAATCTCTTCTTTGGGTCCTTTTTGCTCCAAGACGGCGCAAGGTTCGGCATTAGGCCAGCCTTTTGAGCCATGGTAACTAGTGTGCCCATCTTCTTTTGCTGCCGATGACACAATCCTGTTATACGTCTAGGCAACATGCAGCCATCAGAACGGACGTATTGCGATAAAATTAGCACGTCCGTGTGCTTAATGTCCAAACCCAATGTGCACTCTGGGCAAAAGGTGCTGGCACAGGCAGGTTTGAGCATCTTTTCTGAACGTGGTGATGCCACGTTTACGCCCTCAAAGACCAGTGCATTGTTTTCCAGTTTCTCATGTACTTAAAATACGACAAAATTTGTTTTCAAAACAAACTCAGCAAGGTTATGAAACATCCCGTTGTGTGCCAGGCATTGTACTTACTTTCTTTTATTAACAATGGTGTGCTTGTTGCAATCCTACGTGTCTGCCAGAACGTTCCTCGGAAAGTGCTGGTGGCTGCTTTTAATAAAGTTGCCATGTTTTCATTAATAATTTAATTATCAAACGCAATTTCTGCTATTTACAATGGTCCCTCTGACTTATTTTCGATAGATATCGAAACTTGCACCATATATTTATGCAGCTATCGATAGCCTTTCGCTTTTGTTGCAGATAGTAATTGAATTCCTAGCTTAAAAAATGTGTAAGTTTATATTTTCGCGAAAAAAATGCAGTAGATGCAATTGTTATAATAAATATGTTTTGCAGCCGCCTCAATCACAACCAAAAGCACTCTGATCTCTACAATTATCTCTGGCATACTGAGCTTTGTTATTTTTGCAACGCTGCGTTTCTATGCCCAATGGTTTAATGATTCCCAACTAAATATTTTGTTTGGCGGCTATCTGTTTTCTTGGTTGTTTATATTAAGCCTCACATGTTTATCAAATGCTGAAATGCTGATCTTCGGGCCTGATTTTCAAGCCAAACTTGTGCCGGAGATTTTATTATGTTTATCGTTAACAGCGGCTGCTGCGGGCGTTGTTCATCGCGTTTGTGCAACAACCAGGTAAGTTAATGCCGACGCTTACGCAGAAATCGCAATTAATTGTTGTTTTTCTCTTAGTATTCTATTCTCCCTGGTGGGATTGTATTTTCTTAATCGAATCTCTTCCAACTACTACAACAGTGTGGTGGTGCCCGTGGATGTCCCTATGCGGAAAAGCGCAAAAAAGTATAAATAATAAAACATAAATGTGTGTGTTATATATAACATGATAAATACATATATGTATATTGTAAAACCTAAAAACTTATTCTTTTGTTATGCACCGCTTCGTTTCCAGGCTCTGAAGCTATTTCATTTCCAGCTTCCGGTAAAAGGTTCAGTATGTTAAAGTCAATAAAGCGTACCAACTGCGAAAATGTATATTTAGCTTAAAGTATTATTATTGATATTTAGGCAAGCCCTCATACCATCAAGCCTGCTTTACATTTGTCTTCCTTGTGCTTCTCTTCCAGCTTGTTTCTGAGCATCTTGAACCACTCCGTTATTTCAGCCCCAGTCTCTGCTTGGGGCAGCTCAAAGCCCCGGTACCCGGCTTGCTTTAATGCCGCGTTGTTATTGTTAAACGCAGCTGTTGCCAATATTAATGCAAAGCTCTTAACCAATGTGTATATTTTTTTCAGTGACCATTCGTCTAGTATTGTCTCCACCTTTAGGGTTTTAATCATTTGCCAGACTTCTGAAATCTTTTAAACAAAAGTAAACACGAATATTCGGTTTTTGCCTGACTTACATTTCGATATATATGCATGACAACTGGACTCGTATTCGCCAGCTCGACTATAAAAGCGCGCAAAAGGCCCAGTGATATCATTTTTCCCGTTTCACTTGCTGTGATTATATGCGGTATTGCCCATAATAAATAAAGCATATAATCATAGTCAGTATGGTTCTCAGCAAGGCTTGCAGCGAATTTTAAGTTATCAAGTAATTCACGAGTGGCATAGTCAATCATTGTTGGCTTTAACATGTCTGAATAATTGAAACAATCGTTCAAGAGTTCGAGCCGCTGATTTTGTATTTCAGGATCTCCTAGTATAAGCAACATAATGGCAGCGGAATATAAAGACGTTATTTCCTCAAGGCTCAAATCTTTTTTAAGTGCCTTTAAAAAGTCTCCACAGATCTGAATTGGAGGAATAGTTCTAAAAACGATATTTACATTCAAATCAAATCTACTGCACCTTTTGCACATCTTCCTGTGTTTTGAACGTATTTTTATGCCCGCTATAATCATAGTACTGTTCAAGGGGTTGTAATTTTACTAGTACTTGGTGCAACTGCATATATTTAAAATTCTTAAAATTCGAATCCATATTTACCACTATATTCTGAGAGCAGCAAATATTTATCAGCTGTGTATCAGCGTCTTTCATTTAAGCGATAGTATCGAGCACTTTGATAATATCGATAAAACAGAACCATCGTTGATATTGCCGCTATCGCAGCACTGCATTAGTGTTTTTCGCACGCTCGCACACGGACTAACAGCTCAATTTCTTCAGCAAAACAGCTTTTTTTGTTTTAATCGTAAGTACATAATAAAATTTTGTGAAAAAATTTCAAAGTATTATTAAGTTGATTACTACGCTTGTTAGTTATGTGTTATTTCTGATCAATTGCGCAATTTTATAAAAAGATTGCGCGCAATAAGGCCTCAAGTCTTAGTCATTTATGTATGCTTGTGTCTGTATTAGTGCATGCATACATACTTGTGTATTGTCTGTACATATAATTTTTAAGAAAGGTTATGATATACATGTATTATGTGTATGTGGGCTTATTTGTAAAAACGAACCCCATATTTAAGTTACAGTGATTCATAATCATTGCAAATAATCAATGCTTTTATAACATACAAGTGCGACTGTACGCTTATAATTAAATAAGTGCCACGAAATACGCATTCACAATGTTCTAATGGCGGAAGAGAAAGCATTCATTGTGAATGAAACGTTGAATTTTCAACGGCATTCGCAAAAGAGCTGGTTCATTATTGCATTGGCGAAGCCCAGACAAATAGAACCTCGAAATTTATGTGCACACAGACGAAATACATGGACAGACATGTATATACATGTGTGTGAGCTGTTTGAATGCCAATGTATTGCCACAAAATGGCGCCGACCACATGTCGTCGTGTCGTTATCGTCGGCATTCAACGAAATGTGTGTGTCATTTGCTTTCTGAATTTCGTTTAATAAAGTGGTGTGCGCAGAAGAGGCGCTCGAACGTCAAAAACACTTTAACAGCAAAGAATACACATGTATGTATATAGTAGCCGATTGTGATATTTAATAAAAATAGAATTTTTGACATACACTGAATTTAAAAGCAACAAAATTGTTAAAGTTAATATTTAAACAGAAAACACAATCGGCAGAAATTTCTGCGGGTTTTTCTCTCTCCCTCTCTCAACTGTTGAGTGTCTCTGTGTGTGCGTGCGTGTCAATTTTACAGTTAAAATTAAAGTAGACGCAAATTTGGGAAAAACAAAGCACAAAGAAAACTTATTACCTCCATTTTGATTGCACTGCGCTTATTGTCCAGCTAGTCCAAGGTAAAAAATTCGAAGTCTGTTCGAGAATTTTGCAACTAACGGCCAGTTAAACTCACACATGCATGCGACTATGTATGCACGTCTAACCTCCTAGAAACTCGCTCGCGCGTTCACATTTTAGTACGATACAATAAGAAACGCACGCTGAAGCAAGATCTTTGGCAAATTTACATCCGTTAAGTGAAAGTATAAGTATAATTTGTTGCAAATAAAACTCGCTAAAAATTAAGTTCGACAACAAAGCCTTTGTGTATACACATATGTATTAAGTATACATTGACCTCGTTTGCAAGCGCGCTCCCAGTAACAGTCAACGTGCTTATGTACATATTTTCAAAAATTTCACTTTATTCTGATGTTTCTTTGCTCGCTTCTTCTTTAGGCGAGCTCTCACAGTTCGCCTTTCATTGGCCGTTCGGCATTATCAAACTGTAAGAGATTATACGCATGTACATATGTATGTGTGCTTGCGTGTGTGAGGCACACACGATCAAGCAACTTTTTTTTTTTAGGTTAGATAGCATTGGCACACGATTTGATTCAACGTGTAAGCATTTTCACACATACAGAACCTAGTAACCTTGTATATCACGTCATATATATATTTACTGTAAAAAAGAAAATACAAATTTACTAAAAAAAAAATAAAATTTATTGTCTCTACTTCATATCTGCAGCAATTTATTGTATGAGTCAAAAAACTGAAAGACCAGTGCTATCGGGTCAACGCATCAAGACCAGAAAAAGAGGTAAGCTAAGATTAGAATAGTTTTCAAATATTTCTGAACGTATTACTGTTGTTTCGGATTAGATGAAAGAGAAAAATATGACCCAACGGGATTCCGTGATGCGGTCATTGCTGGTCTCGAAAAAACTGAAGGCGACCTGGATCAAATCTCTAAGTTTCTAGACAGCGCGGGCAACAAGCTCGATTATCGTCGTTACGGTGAAGTGCTGTTTGATATATTGATTGCGGGTGGTCTATTAGGTGAGTGAAAAGTGAATCTATATAAAATACCGCCTCAGCTAATATTTAAATGTATCACTGCCTTAGTGCCTGGCGGTTCTATATCTCAGGATGGCGAAAAGCCACGCACAAGTTACTGCATATTCGATGCACCCGAGGATATGGAGTCAATGCGCAACCATGAGCAGGTTAGTATATCGTTGACACCAATGCTGCGTGCATATTATTAGAACCGGTTATTAATCGATGCAGATAATCGGTGTCATTATATGCTAAATGAAACGCCTCATTTTACTTGTCTTTATTTTGTATAGAAATAATTACAACAATCTAAAGATTTCTAATGTTGCGACAAACCAGTCGAGTCGTGTTTTGAATACACATCTATGTATTTTTGTAAACCTTAGTCGCATGTTATTAGAACTGGTTATTAATTACTTGTATTATAATCGGTGTCAAAATTATGCAAAATGAAACGCCACATTTTACTTGTCTTTAATCTTTCGCAAAACTCGATTTTTAAAGATTTCTAATGTTGCGACAATATAAATTTTTAAAAACTATTGAATACGCCCAAACTTAATAATGCCTAATGTCTAATGTAAAACTTAAATGTTTGCAGGTGTTTGTTAAACTCATTAGACGGTACAAGTACCTTGAGAAAATGTTCGAAGAGGAAATGGGTAAAGTTTTGTTATTCGTAAAGGGCTTTACGCCAAGTGAACGCATTAAGCTTGCGCGCATGACTGCGCTCTGGTTAGGTAAGCATATTCATTTAATTTAATTACATATCAATAATAATATTGTAGTCACCTGTTATATTATGAGTTTTGAGCAACGATCATACACTCGTACTACAGTTGGCTAATATTAAATTTATAGTCTTGGTATACTGACTCTTGCATGTAAAAGTATAATCCTAATGCAAAAGCCACGAGCCCAAGCACATTTTTGCCCATGTCTAAGAACATTGTAGGGTTTTTAAATAACGTTCTAAATGGGGTTCTCATTGCACTTTGCAGTTAATGGCTCTGTACCGCCAAATGTATTGCTGGTACTAAACAATGAGCATCTGATTAAGGATGGCATTGCACTCGAGTTTTTATTGGAGCTGTTTTTGACGTTCAAGCAAGAGAAGGGCATTGCATATCTTATTCAGGCGCTTAAAAAGGGTGGACTGGAAAGCAAGTAAGTTACATCAAATTTTTGTAAATTGGAATGTTTTCAGGAAGATCTACATGTATATCTTGTTAATCTTTAATTAACATTCCTAGAGTAATTACTTACACGGAATTTAATGCATGTCGCAAATAAACTAGCTTTATTTGGGTGCCCATTTCATTTCGTACATTAGCACACCGTAACGAATTTAACGTGCATCAGGTAGAACTATAACGAATGTCATTTTCGTTGCAGACTTATGGACTTTTTCCCACTAAACAAACGTACTGAGGAATATTTTAAACAAGTTTTTCTTGACAAAGAACTCAATGAGATCATAAAATTGCATAAGGCTCAGGCCAGCCAAGAGGCCAAACGTGAACTGCAGCAGACCCTCATCGATGATATTAACGATGAGAAGGCACATAATGAAATAACTGCAGACATCAAAGAGTTTGCACTACGTACCAACATTCCTGATCATGAAATAATTGTTATTGTAAGTGGTCCTGTCTCTGTGTATTCTTTACAGCTTTTCTTATATTATTCTAATTAAACTTGATTTATTAGATTTGGTCCACAATCATGTCGTTGGGAGAATGGAACAAAAAGGAGGAGCTTGTCACCGATCAAGCGGTGCGTCATCTAAAGACATATTGCACATTGTTGCAGGCGTTTGCCTCAACAGATCGTTCAGAATTGGCATTGATATTAAAAGTGCAGGAGTTCTGCTACGAAAATATGAATTTCATGAAAGCGTTCCAAAAGATAATCTTGTTGTTTTACAAGACCGAGGTATTGTCCGAGGAGATCATCTTGCGCTGGTACAAGGACGGACACTCTAACAAGGGCAAGATGCATTTCCTTGAACAAATGCGCAAATTCGCCGAATGGCTCCAATCTGCCGAGGAAGGTTAGTATCTAAGAAAAGATGTTATGAAGAAAATTTATTATAAGGCTGGCAATTTTTGAGAATGGTTTTGCCTTTTGTGTGGCATTTTCATTGTACAAAATTGCAAGAGCATTTGGGTTTTTTGCTTGCCTCGTTGTTTTAAAACCATAGAACAACGCAGGCCAATGAAAACCTGGACATTCCATTGAATAATGCTGCATATTTCCTTACCAACTTTTTAAGTTGTACAAAGTCTTAAAAAGCTCATGTAAAATATGCAAGAGCAAAAGAATGATTGGGTGTCCATATAACTAAACATAGTTACATTTGGCCAATAATCGTTCGGACAATCATTCATACTTACGTCTTTTGCTAGCAGTTGAACGTGTGCATACTCTTTAAAATTGTTTGTTAAAGTTGTACTCCCAATGGGTAACACTCTTTATAAAGTATGCCAGAGCAAAAGAATGGTTGGGTGTCCATATAACTTCACATAGTTACATTTGGCCAATAATCGTTCGGACAAATTTAACTTGTTATGCATTTGGCAATAGTAATCTAATAAACATATATATATTGCCTACTTTTTACTTTTAGAATCTGAATCGGAGGATGAGCAAAAGTTAGGCGACTAACAAATATATTAGGCGCAGTCCATTATCTCGGCATTAAACCAACTGCAACTATACGGAGTCGCCATCATCATCAATATATATGCATATGTGTATATATATATATATATTTCGCATTACCAACAGCCAACCGAACTACACTCCCCTTTGGAAGTTTCCTAGATGTTAACAAGACCCATGGACTTTGCAACGTAAAGAGAGAGGAGAGAGCCAAGCCGCAAAATTCGAAATTTACTGTACACAATTTAATAGTTTTTCAAAACCACTTTCTACATTTCAAAATGTGCACTTAAACTTGTTAAATTTATTTTGAGCAATATTTAAGTGAATTTCAAAACAAACAAAAAATGAAAAAGATACAAACACAAAACTTGAAAAATTGTTTATATATATGTATGCAAACAAAAAAAGGCCAGAAAATCTTGTTATTATTATGTTGCATCTGAAAACAAACAAAAAAAAACACATTCAATGTAATTCTCTTATTTAAAAGTCAGCAATGATTTTAAGTAATAACTGGTCAGGTCTTTTAGGAAAAATAGTAAATGCAAATTATGCAGTTAGACATCGACACACAATTTGTGTATATTTGAATGATTAACAATGACAAGCTTAATCGGCTATCTTACAGCAGATGAAAAACATACAAACATGTCTTGGGAAAACACATCTCAAATGAAAATGGGGGAAAGTTAATTGAAAAGGCGATTGCATGCAAGAAAAAATATACATACAGTAATATATACAATTAAAGTAAACAAATTTAAAACAAGAATTCGTTTTTATTGTACTCATGGGCAAAAACCTGAAGCATCTCGAATCGATTTAATATGGGATTGTCGAATAACTAAAAAAAAAATTATCAAAATAATAAACTAGAAATATTAATATCATATTAATTTAACCAATTTTCAATGAAGGAATTTATCCTCGAAATACAACAATAAAAGAAATTTAATCTTCAGGATCCAATAATATAGAGCTAAAAAGTTATAGTGTATTGAACGAGCTCCTCCTATTCAAACAAGCATATAAACTTTTTTGTTTTTCAGATCACGCCGAGATAAGAACATTATTTTCTAAGTTCCAAGAAGTCAGCATACTAAATTTTAAATTAATAATTTTTACAGACATTTAATTTTTTTTTTTTTTAACTTAAAATGTTTTTTTTTTAATGAATGTGCCTAATGCTGTCTCAAATTTTGGAAAGACCCTAAAATGCACAACCATGCTATAAATACTACCCAAAGCCATGTGTACATATAAACGAGCCCTAGCCAATCCAATCTTAGGTTCGGTTAATTTTCAATTCGCGGGTTAGACTCCAATTGGTTTTTGTTTCAAGGATTTCTACGGCCTACATGTGTTAGCGAACTTTTTAATGCAGTCGAATTATAAAGAGTGCGAAATTTGTTGATTGTTTTTTGTTTTTGGAAATACTGTTTTTATTCAACATAAATTTTGTTTAAGTTTAAAAGTAAGTTTGTTGCATTTGTATTTCATTTTAATCGATGTTATATAATAATGCATATGCTATTGATTTTATTGTATGCTAAATTTGTAGTTATTTTTCGTGAACACGCAAACATTAAAATACAATTATTCTGTGTGTACTTGTTTAGAGCCAGATATGAACGTGCGTTTATAAAGCAATTGTGCGGCAACAGCGGCAGCCATATAAATTGAGACTTATAATTTCCATTTTTTTTTTCAATTTTACATTTAAGTATATATATTTATATATATATATGTATTATATGATTTGGAATTGGAAGAAGGTAAAATATGGGGGCTTTTATATGTTTTAACAAATTTAGCTACTTGGCCACTTGGCAATACTTCGTTAACTGCGCGTGCGTTAGGGTAACTGTGTATTCGTATTTAACTTGTTCAACAACATCTGATGATTATTTATGGCCTTTAAAATGTGCCAGTTGCTAGGACGCCGGCGCACATTGTCCTCGAGCCAGCGAAATGCGACTAAATAAATTTCGGTGACAAGCGGACAATAATGCTGAGTGTGCACGCGTGCGGCCTGCAAGTGGCACATACATTGATAATTATCAATTATATTAATAATCATTGATAATTGTTGCCGCTGTGACGCACATTGCAATTGAATAACATGGCTAAAGAAAAGGGGATAACAATAATAAACAAACAGTTAATAAAAATGTACAACAAAATTTACAGACAAGGGCAAAACAAAAAGAATTTTACAAAAATGATATAGGCGCATTTGAATCGCCAGAACTAATAACGGATCGCAAAGTATTGAGGAATGTTATTATAATTAGCTTATATTGTTAACGCCGGTTAGTTCATAGAAAACAAACTTTAACAAACTCTTTTACGGATTTGAATGCACTTAGAACTGTGTTTATCTGTTGAAATATACTCTAATATATCATAATTGGCAAATATGTAAGTACTTTTAACACATAATTGCTGCCTACATATTTGACCAACATATTTTGTTTTTCTCAGTTTGACTATAAAAAGACAACGGCAATAATAATAATAATTAATAGACACAATTTTGTTAAATGAGTTCAAGAGTATGAGTTTTCTTCTTCCATTATTAAGTGGTTGTTTTTTTTCTTGTTGTTGTTATAAGCTTGAACTGTTCTGTTTTTTTCACTTAAAGAAAATTTTTAATCGGTGAATTTGCGATTAACATTGCGTCCGAACAGGGCGTTACGGATTTCTGGCACAAGCTGCTGTGAAATCAATTCTAATCTGGACTCCAGGGTATTTGGCACCTACAAAGTGAACATGGGTCATTAATAAAATAGCTTAAGCAGTAAAATTGTTTGCCACGCACCTTGATGCGTCCATTCAAAGCCAACAGCTCAACACCACCACAGGTATTGGGTGAAAGATACTCCTTTTCGTCGATATAAAACTCAACATCCTGTCTCATTGCGGCTTTGTACTGCTCAATAGCTGAAGGGATTACTGCCCTAACAAGGGGCACATCGACTTGACGGCAGCGTAGGGTTACTTTAGGTTCCATTACCTGATACAGGCCTTGGACAATTAGTTTCTCAAGAACGGTCTTGTATTCGGATTCGTTCTGGGTGACTTCGCCGAGACGTTTGCGTGCATCATCCAGCACACTGCCAACATGATCCTCGCGCACTTTGAGCACCTGTAAGTGGCAAGTAAACCCAAAGTAGAATTTTTTTTCCAAATGGTAAAACTGGTTTGCATATAAAAACCGACCTTCAAGCGAGCTTGATTGAGCATGTTTGAGGATTGGATTTTCTTCTGCAGCTCAACTTGCTTCTCCTTTTTCTCGTAGTACTCCATAATCTTGAGACGCTGTTGTTGGACGAGACGTCCCTTCTCAATATTGAACTCTTCTTCGGCTTTGGCATCGATCTCCTCGGCTTTTTCATTGGCCTCCTGCTCAATGAATGCCATCATATGTTTGATCTGAAAAGAAAAAGTATTAAATAAGCTTCGTAAATCAAAATCTATTAAAGTTGAGATAAAACAGTGGGTGATGGATAGAACAAACCTAAAACTAATCACATGATTAGGCAACTATATATCTACATTTGTGTAGCTAAAACATTTGCTGCTCAGCTAAATCATTAGCAGCTGTCGCCCGGCGCACCGTTACGTTGACCAAAAGTAAATATTCATTTAATATATTTTACTTTCAGAAAAAAAAAACTATCCAATGGCATTGATAAGGCACGGCAAGTTCATTTACAGCGCAGTCGTGTGACAGTGTTCGCACTAGTGTATTAGCTGCGCTAGTCGTCTCCCTTTAACACATTGCTCAAGTGTAGTGCGTGTCACATGACCAATAAGCATTTTGGTTTTTGCGTAAAACTTTGAACAATACGTTTTTCCACCAACAACAGATTCAAAACGCATTTTTAATTTACTCAAAAACTAATTCATACGCTGTCTTATATGCACATAAAACACTTTGTGTCAACCCAGATTAGATATTTTAATGTATAGTGACTAAAAAAGCTGCACGCAAAATTCACATGACTACGGTGAGAATCCCATGACTTCGCCATCTTTCTCGTTACCCGAATCCGTGGCATTGAAATTATTGTTCAATTGGAAAAACATTTCTGTTTTACATGTTTAACTTAACTAAATACCCTCAAAATAGATTGTTTTTCGTTTTACACATGTTATTTACCTGTTTCTGTACATCAGCATCGCTCAAAGCCATCTTGACTGATTTGTCTCACTTGCCACAAAATCGAAATAGAAATTCAATAGTTCCGAAGGAATTCACGTACTACCGTGCCTGAAATGGTTTTAACTTTATAATAAATTTCTTAATTATACAACACGAAAGGAAAATTATAAAATAAAACTCCATACAACACGAGAGAAAAACGGAATCGGAAATTTACTTGCAGTGTGTGTGCCTTCTGCCCGTCGTCTGAAACTTTCACTACCACCAATCGATCATATGATTTTACTTCGTGATGCGCAGTGTTGTTAAGTACCGAAAAGCGAATCAAACTGTAGGCGATTGTATCGAGAAAGGCCTGAAAATAGTATCGATCCTAATCGATGTATGCTGGTAAGTAATATCTATGTGCATAGTTCGTATTTAAGACTACCATCACTATTATCGATACTGGCAGTACAGCTCTAATGTACGTATGTACATACGCTACTTTGTGAAAATTTGTTTTTCGTTTGCAATTAAATAATTCTTTAAAATAATCAGCATAATGGAGACGCTACTGGAGCAGCAGCGTCGGTACCACGAAGAGCGCGAGCGTCTAGTGAAACTGATGGTCGATGAGCATGCAACCAAGAAGCCCGGCGAAAAAGAGCGCATTCACAGTGAACACCGGCTAAAGTACCTAATGGAACTGCACCACCACGCCACCACACAGCTGCGCGAGCTGTATGAGGACAAGGACAATGAGCGAAAGGCTGAAATAGCGGCGTTATCTGGACCAAATGAGTTCAATGAATTCTATGCCCGTTTAAAGCAGATTAAACAGTTCTACAAATCTCATCCGGCCGAAGTCAGTGTTCCGCTTTCGGTGGAATTCGAAGAAATGATAAAGGTCTACAATAATCCCGACGAAATGAGCGCTCTGGTTGAGTTCACCGATGAGGAGGGTGGCGGCCGCTACTTGGATTTGAACGAGTGTTATGAGCTTTATTTAAATTTGCGGGGCGTTGAAAAATTGGACTACATTACGTACCTCATGTCCTTCGACCATGTCTTTGACATACCACGTGAGCGTAAAAATCGCGAGTACCGCAAGTATATTGAGACGCTTAACAATTATCTACACAGCTTTATTCTGCGCATCCAACCGCTACTAGACCTTGAAGGCGAGCTGGTTAAGGTTGAGCTCGATTTCCAGCGCCAATGGCTGCAAGGCGCATTCCCTGGCTGGTCATTAAAGGAGACTGAATCGGCGCTTGCAAATACGGGCGCGCATTTAGATTTATCAGCTTTCTCAAGCTGGGAGGAGCTGGCCTCTTTGGGCTTGGATCGTCTTAAGTCCGGGTTGGTCGCCTTGGGTCTCAAGTGTGGCGGCACTTTGGAGGAGCGGGCGCAACGTCTGTTCACCACCAAAGGCAAGAGTACTTTGGACCCGGCGCTAATGGCCAAGAAACCAACAACAAAAAGCGCCAATGCACAGACGCGTGAGAATGAACGAAATAAGGAAATCGCGCAGTTGGAGGCGCTGCTTTATAAATACGCCGAGCTGCTCTCCGAACAACGTGCGGCAACCAAGGAGAATGTCCAGCGTAAACAGGCACGAACTGGGGGCGAGCGCGATGACAGCGACGTTGAAGCTAGCGAGTCAGATAACGACGATGATCCGGATGCGGATGATGTTCCATTCAATCCCAAGAATTTGCCATTGGGCTGGGATGGCAAACCCATACCCTACTGGCTGTACAAGCTGCACGGATTGAATATCAGCTACAACTGCGAAATTTGTGGCAACTTCACTTATAAGGGCCCCAAGGCATTTCAGCGTCACTTTGCCGAGTGGCGGCACGCGCACGGTATGAGATGCCTGGGCATACCGAATACGGCGCATTTTGCGAATGTTACACAGATCGAAGATGCGATCACGTTGTGGGAGAAACTCAAGTCACAAAAGCAGAGCGAACGCTGGGTAGCCGACCAAGAAGAGGAATTCGAGGACTCCCTGGGCAATGTGGTCAATCGTAAGACATTTGAGGACTTGAAACGACAAGGATTGCTCTAAAAAGTAGTTTTTTTTTTATATGTCTCATGTAAAATGTATTGCTTAATATACAATTTTAAAACCTAACCACATATATGTGCATCCATTTTCAAGCCCACCTTGTCAACTGTTGCTAGGGGCAGTAGGGAAAATTTACGGGGCTCCAACTGCTGCGGATTGGCACTTGCTTGCAGCCAGGGAAACTCCTGGTATTGTGCATCATGGCTGAGCTGTGTAAAGGCAGTTTGTGTTGTATGAATATGCACCTTAAACTTTGCATTTTGACCGAGTTTCGGTAAATGTTTTACGCGGTCCGCCAATTTGTAAAGTGCCGCGCTTAGTTGTTGTTCGTACTCCATTAAATATTGATCCTGTGTGTGATCGGATTGAACCGGTTGCATTTCCAACAAGTAGCTTTCCGTGTGCTCTGGATCATTTCCATATATAATAACTTCTAGCTTCAGTTGTTGCGCGGGATTCTGCAGCAATTGCTGCACAGTTCTTAGCACATTGGCTAGGTAAGAATTTAATGCCGGAAATGCGACTATAAAGACTGGCGTGTTGTAAATGCGGCGCTTCTTAAAGATTTGTTCAGGATAAACACCGCGAACGTATAGTATATGATTTAAAATCACTTCAATTGCTTCCACATGTATTGCGCCAATATCATCTGATTCCATTATCATTTAAAACAAACAAAATATTTCATTAGCTCTTGTAAACATGCACAGCTATGTATTAAAATATACCGAAAATAAAACTGTAAGTCCGGTCACACTTTTCTTTTCGAATTTCGAAGCAAATTATCTTGATTGTTGCCTTAACTTTTAAACGCATCGATATAGTTACAAATAAATAAAGGACATTTATAATTTCTTTACTTTTACCAAGATAGTCAATACTACCAGTCAAAGGCGACGACAAATTTAAAGCTAATTCAAGTAGCTCGAAAAAACCTGCAGAACGTGAATTCAGCATAGATATAAAATTGATTTAAGACTGCTCAAAACAGTTTAAAAAGTAAACAAAACTCGTTTGTTTTGGTGTTTATTTAGTTTGCTTAAAAGAATTGCGTAGCCAATTTAGGCAACCAGAGCAGATGCCGTGCTGGATTCGTATTTCCAGTTCGGTGGCAGTACGCTCTTTGTTTTGTAGTAGCGCGCCAGGCGATGAATTCTGGACTCAACCAAAATCAAACGGAACTTGCCATCTTTATCCTTGCGATTGCGCTCCAAATGCTTACGGATGGCCACTGCCTTCTTGATCATGTGGTACAAATCCTCGGGAATGTCGGGTTTGAGACCAACCGACTTCATAATGCGCAGGATTTTGTTGCCATTAACAAAGCGTACTTGGGCCACACCATGGGAATCACGCAAAATGATACCTAAAATTATTGACGAGAGTTCAATTAACCTAACCTCAAACCGTAAACACAAACAATAAATACCAATTTTGGAGGGTGTCAGGCCCTTCTTGCCAAGTTTCTTGATCTGCTCCTTGACATCCTCGGCGTTAAGTTTCAGCCATGATGGCACTGTGCGTCTGTACGGTAGGGCGGACTGGGAAATACCCTTGCTGTAAAAAAAATGTTCCGTTTGAGTCGATTGCAAGTGACAACAGGAGCGGCAAGTGTTTTCGTTTGCAACATGTGCTTGCCTTCATGGCCTTTTTTGGTACATTTTCCGCGTAAAGTGTGTACAACAAATATTGCAAAGGCTAACGTGCACGAAGCAGGCACATTTTACGAGAACTCTTGCTCATTACAGCAATCGAAATGTGTATTTTACCCTGGAGCGTGCATACGACCCATGTTGAGCGCTTAGTTTTTGATACCGAAAAGAAAGTGGAGACTTGTCAAATGCCAAGTTGAGTAAAAATTCTACACACACAATGATACATTGCCAGAGTTGAGTTTTTTCTTCAGTCGGTCTCCATATCCAAAACACCTATCGATAACTAGTTGAAAACGTTACTGACGCAAAATGTCAGGACAGCTTGAATTTTTTTTTTTTTTTTTTTTTTGGAGCGCTTGTTGTCAACAATATGCGTCAAGGATAAATGGTAATGTACAAATTGCAGGCAACTTCCACAACAGCCTCTCTGGGTAAATCTGGTGTTTTTCGATTCGCTTTCCGGTCATTCGGCGCATTTAACACAATTGACAACTTGCAAATTGGCCACTTTCAAAGCCCTTTCCCTATCTGGTCGTTTAGTGCTTTAGACACTTTTAATACATTTCCTTAAAACTGAGTGCAAATAATTTAAGGAGAGCAAAAAGTCACAACATGTTGCATTTCAAAAGAGGCAGACATCTTAAGAGAACTGAACTGCAAAATACGAGTCCCTTTTAGCATGCTTAACAAAGGTTTCGCTATGTATTTACTGGTATGCACAGAATGCTAACAGTAGTTACTGATTTTGGTTTTGATTTTTTTTTTTTTTAATTTTGTAACCAAATGTGACCAGCGCGGCACGAAAATACTATCGTTATGACCTATCGTGTACTGCACTAGTTCATTACATTTTTGTGCGGCTTAAGATACATACCACTTCAGCCCTGTGAGAAAATTTCTGCGTCTAAAATTGAGAGAGCAAAACAAAATCGTAAGTACATAAATGCATACAGAGCTAATTGGGAAGAAAACACGGTTCGCGCCATTTATAAATTCCCAAATATTAAATAAAAGTTATATTCCACATGTGTTAATATTAGTTTCCGTGTTTTACCGCAGGCAAACAATTTTTGTGCCACCATTTTTGTTGTTCTGACGCTTGGCGTGCCCCATGTTAATGTGTATTATTTGTGTGTATGTATGTGCGCCTCAAAACATGCACACAGTTTCGCGAAATATGTACAAACTGTGATTGTTTGTTTAAAGATTCACGTTACGTCGTTAAAGAAACAGTAAAATGGATGCAGATACAGAAGAAGGTAAGTGTTCCCTAGCAATTTACATTGGTGGCGCCATCTACGCATTACATACATACAGTAAATCGGTGTAGGCTTCACAGATATTTATCTGCTCGTGTATGCCTGTGTGCCTACACACGTGTTGTTGTTAGTGCGTTATGTATGATGATCGCTTTGAGTCTGCTCAGTTGGTCAGTTGCTTCTTTGCTCTCGCCATGGACAGCTCTCATCGCCGGCGGCCAAGCGCGGACGGGCACACACTTTACGGTGATTAAGTCAGCGCTATTTTAATTTGAACACAGCTCGCTTAAACAATAGACGAAATGTGCTTCCCTCCAAACAATAAACAAAAAATTAATGTTTGATTACAGAATGGGCCAGTAGCAGCAGCAACAGATCCAGTTCCAGTGATGTAATAAAAAACCTACTGGAAGTTGCCAATTGCAGGCCAGGCACCAATGTGGCCAAGGCAATCGTTGCGTATCAAGAGTTTCCTGGCTTATCAACGCTGCTTCTGCTCCTGGAGGAGGTATCGAAAAATACAGATTTTTCGACCGATATGCGCTTGTCGCTTTCCTATGTAAGTAAAACCTAAAGTTTCCTTTAAAATTAACTAAAAGTATTTTTCCTATTTATCACGGACTCTCGCCTCGTTTAGTACATGGATGAATTTTTGCGGCAAGTATCCGGTGCGAGTGTGCCCCGACGCTCGGTTATTGCCGCCGCCGGCAGCGTGCTTCAATACTGCAGCAAAATCTATGGTGACAGGGTGGAGCTCATGTACCAGGTTGTGGAGCATCAGATCGAGGCGCTGCTCATTGCCGATCCCAAAAAGGATGAGAACAGCAATCGGTGAGTAAAACTGCAGTCGCACCGGCTGCCATGTGGTTAGTCATTGAGTTAGAGAAGCAAGATCTGTCGCCATGCTGTCTGCTTCAATTTCTTATCATGTGGTCGCTTATCGGTCCATTTGTCATTCTCTTCACATTCGCCGGTTCTACTTCCTTTTTTACGTCGGCTGAGCCATGCTCCACATGCTCCAATGCATTAGACAAAATGAATATGATAAAATATATTATATTATATATATTTAATTATTTATTTTAAAGAAAACGGTATTTAAAATTGTGAGTCAGAAAAATCTGTTTTTTAACTTTTAGAAAGTAAGAAATAATGTTTATTATCCTGAAGTCGATCATTTAAATATTAATTTAGTTGCCAATTTGAATTTTTTAGTAAAAACTTTAAAATTAATAATTCTCTAAATGTGTAAATCTCTCAGATTTTGTGTTCATTAATTTATAATAAACATTTTTTACGCTTTTTTAGCAAAAGAGATGCTAGCAAGCCGGAGGAGCCGCGTAAGCGTCGCATTAAGAAACTCACCCAAAAGGAATTCGATCCGTTTTCGTATAAGATGGAACCAAAAAAGTTCAAAATAATGTCCGATGAGAAGCGCTTCAGTCGCGTTGGATTCGAAACGAATATAAACAGAAATCGTACAATTGAGCACATGTATCAGGATCATACGCCTTCCCATCTTTGGAAGCATGCTTCCATCGTGGATCCAGCGAATCCCTACGAGCAGGATGAGAAAAAGAACTATAAGGTGTTTACATATCATCCGGAGCCCAGATACAATACTCTTCTGCCTGACATTCAGTTTGATCGTCTGAATTTGATCAAGGAATACGTGCATTCAAATCAAGTGGATGTATCCGATACTCTAAATAAGAACATGAGTAATAAGGAATATTTAGACGAGTACATAGCGCTAGAGAACCAAATGCTTGCCTCTCGCTATGGGGAAAAAACAGTGCTGAAGCGCACCCTGAATGTCGAAGAGGATGAACAGGCCAAGCGTTTGCGCCTGGAACTGCAGAAACGTTTGCTGGAATTCACTGATGAGAGCTCTAAACGTAGAAGGCTAACTGAAGAGATGGACGATAATCGTGATAGGAATCTGGAGACTGATGTAAGTGGAGCTCAGCGATCGCAAACCTCTATGGACTCAGTACTAGGCGAATCGCTGAGAACTTTGACGCTGACAGATTCATCAGAAGTACAACTTAATGGAAGCAAGATAGAATCACCTCCCTTTAGCAGCACGTTGCATATGAATGACGCCAGCTGCTTGGACAGCCAGCGTTTGGATCTGCAGCAGATCGAATCTATAAAGAAAGAGCCGCAACAGGAGTCTCAGACGCAGCTGGAATCACAACAGAAGGCCCAACTTGAACTCTCCACTGGCAAGGGTGATGATAGCAATGAGCAATCGTTGCAAATTGATTCAGGCATTGGCATGGATGATGTATGCGATACGCTGCCGACAGGTAAACTAAAATGCACTCTGTTTATGTAGACTCGTGTTGCACCAACAGATCAGGCTAAGATTTTTGTTAATCCTTTCTTTGTAGACAGATTTGACTCACATTCTTTGTTTACTTTTTATTTTATTTACGTATGTATTTCGTTTGCTGTGCTGCTGCCTGCATCCAAATATTGTGCAGCTCAATCTTTTGATGATGAGGGTGTTGTTCTTACAGATCTTATAGACGACCAGCATCTGCAGTCGCTATCGCCCAAGGTAATGGTGCGGGACATACTGCCCGGTGTGCCCGACAAAGCCAACCTGAGCGTGCGCGTGGACGCCGAAATGCTGGCCCTGAGCGGCATCAATGAAACGCTCGAGGAGATTGTTGATGTGCCACGTGAAGTGCACTATTCAATCGAGCGGAATTTGCTGCAGCTACCAGAAAAAAAGCTGCGAAAGGGTTCTCTCTTCAAGCTACCTAAAGAATTTGATTTATTTAAGAAAGCGGTAAGCATACCCGTCGACAAGTACTTTCCTTTAAACAAATATGTAAATACCCTTTAATTATGTTATAGCGCACACCAGCCAAGCGACAGGCTGAAGCCAAGGCGCCCGGTGCTCCCAGAGCCTTGCCTGTCGCTTCGCCTGTTGCCTCGCCTACGCATTCCGTATCGTCACTTGACAAATTTCCGGCATTGCCGTTGGATCAAATGGAATTCGATTCGGAGCTAAGTATGTAAAAATAATTTAATACAGTTTATGCAGCTGCCTAACTTATGTCTTTTATATTTCACAGATTTTCGCGGTTTTAGGCGTCCTACTTATGATTCAGGTATTGATCAGGAAGAGATTAGATTGGCCAACTCGCCAGCAGATGACGGCATCATCGTTGATGTGGGCTCCGAAGAACCATCGGATGGACCAAATGTAATTCAAGAAGTTAGAGCTTCTGAGCAAACAGAGAAGGACTTGACGTTGCCTGAAATTTCATTGGGCACAACAGAATCAAATGAAACGAAACCAAATGATGTACAACATACACAAGCAGATGACATAAGAGCCCAAGACATCACCGAAGAGGACCTAAGAATCCCCGATACCACTGCAGGGAACACAACACTACTAGAGAGTGGACTGAATGCCATGCCCATGGATTTGGCCACAAACGACATAGAGTTGGACTCAGACTGGGATGCAGAGGAAAGCGATTCGAGTGTTCAAGAAAACTGTAATAGCATAGATGCAGAAACTGATGCCAAGGTGAGAAATGCGGTGTCTAACCCGTTTTAATTGTAGAAACAAGTTAAGAGCAAGATAAGATCATGAGTATATATTCTGATATTGAAGACGGATCAAAGCATATTCTAACAACTGCAGGGTGTTAACTAACAGTCGATATTGGATACCTAAAACACGTACTTGAACTAGAAGTTAGTCGGGAAATTAAGCATATACACTTCTTAAATCAAATGTGTTCAAACCGGGGCGACATTTTATAACAACAATTTTAAAAATTTTTTGTATTTTGCAGATTATTGACTGGCATCGTCGACTGGCACCCACATTAGAAGCGGCGCATGCGCGTCAAAACTTTAGCATACAGAACCTAAATGACGAGATTATAGCCAAATGCCAGGAAAATGATGGAGAGGCAACACTTTCCGATGTGATAGAGGATAAGGACCCAACCAAACTATGTTGCTATATGCTGTCCTCACTACTGCTGGTAAGTGCCACAATGATATTCCAGCAATGTGTCCAACTTAATATTATTTTGCCTTGCAGACAAACCAGAGAAACGTGGAGCTTCAAATAGATAAACATGATAAGAGCAAGCCAATTGAAATGAATCAGTTTAAGATGAAATTGATTAGCACCGAAAGGAAACAAGTGAATCCCGAGGATGACATTGGCAATATGAACAGTTCCAATCAGCGTAGCAACCAGGCAGCATCACGGGAAACACCGCAATCTGCTAACGCTGCGCGTCGCAAGGCGCAAGAGCAACGTCCCACACTTGATGCAATTAATGTAAAAACAGTGCGCCTTATAAAACCTGTGCCCAAGGCAAGCGCACGGCCAGAGGATGCTGACTCTGGCATATCATCGCTGCCGGCATCCTTAATGTCTGTGTGGCCGACTGACATGTAGCGGAGGCCGTAGCAATTGTTGGTGTCTAGTGCTAAATGTGTGCCTCTGTCTTTAGTTTATGTATATAGTTGGTTAAGTCGCAGGGTTGACGTTCGTATATATGTGTGTACAATTCGATTCTCGTCCAGTAACCTTAAAATGTACAATGTTGTGTGTGTGTGTGATGCGAATCTAAAATTTAATCTAATGAGAATTATTCCTTGCAGCCGATCATATTGCGCCGGGGGCTGCCCTTTTCACAGGCTTACGTCAAAATTAAGAGGCTGTGCTGGCCGCGCAACTGACAAATGCATTAATGCATAATTCTTTTGTTTTTGTTTTTTTTTTTTTTTTTGTGACAATGTACAAAGTCTAGTTCTAAGAGTACTTTTAACATGAGATGCAATTTTTAGTTTTATTCAAATTTATGCTGCCAGCTTTTAGTTCTTTATGTTATGTAGTGTAAGCCAAAATTGAAGCAGTATTATTTAAGCTCGATTTCCTTACGTTTGAACAAGTTTTTCAAATTTCATTTTTTCTTATCATTTTCAAATTTCATTTTTTCTTATCATTTTCAAATTTCATTTTTTCTTATCATTTTCAATTCTTTATATATTTATTTTTCTTGATTTTCTTTTTTATATATTGTAAAATTTCATTTTCAGTTTCAATTTATTTTTTCACTTGCTTTACATTTATCTTTCGGTTTCTATTTTTGTTTTATAGTTTTTCAATAATTTCTTCATTTATGATTTTTATTTTTCCATTTATTCATTTTTCTCAACTTAAAATCTTTCAGAAACGCAAGTCTAAATAATAATAATGAAATCAAGATCACCCAGAGACACATATTGTGGAAATCATATAGAGCTGATAGTACTACAAAAATCAAGTACCTGATCTCCTAGTGTGTAAAAATTGTTTTTCCAACTTTTAAAGACGGTTTATCTATTTACATATATATTACATACATATGAATGTGCAAAACAAAGCAAATTTTTTTTGTAGTAATCTAAGAAAGCATCTAAATGCAATGAAAAAGTCAAAGAAACTAAAAACAAGTTGTTTAAAATTACTGGAAAATCGGGTAATGAATGTTTTAATAGTTCGAGAATTGTGATAAAAATTGTTCAGAAAATCTGCTGGATTTACTTTTTGCTTAGCTGAGTACATGATTACATTGGAAAATTGTACATACATATGTGTATATATATACAGGTAATAAAATCAAGATCCTACGACTATTCAGTATCGCTGCCGTCCGATTTGGCCTTTTCCTCGTCCTTTTGTTCATCAGTCTTGTAGTGGCGATATTCTTTCTTGAGCTCCCACATGTTTTTGTGCGGATTTTTCATGTTGTAGTCGCAGACATCCTTAAGTATCTCCTTCAGGTAGCTAATTGGCTGATTGGTTATTTTCACCAGATCCTTAATATTATAGTACTGATGCTTTTCAAAGGCATGGAAAAGCATATCCATCACAGCATTCTTGTCGTCGCGTGCTTTCTTGCCCTCCGCCTTCTTACGCTCCCGATACTCAATCTAAAAATATGAGAAATTTTAAACAAATAGTAAAGACAAGTGCAGCTGATCTTACATTGTGTGCATGATCCTTTACTGGCTTGTAGTTCTGTACGATCTTGTCGATCGGCTGCACTCGACGTTGTGGCTCCGATGCCTTGCGTATGGACTCGAGCTTCAACTTCATGTAACAAGTGTCGGCAATAGGACGGCATTCAAGCTTTTGGACGATGCGACCTTCCATGTACAGCTTTTCACTATCTGGCGTCCCTGAAGCGGCACCTGTGCCATTTTCCTTACCGTTGCTGGCGACGGCCGCCGCCTCTGTGGGTGCCATGTGGGAGAAAACGCCGAGTGTCTGTTTCGTCACCTGTGACACGTCAAGCACATGCTCTGTGGGTATCTTCTCATCCGGATCCAGTGCGAGCACAGCGGGCGTGAGTGAAAGTGAGACTTGCGCCTTCTGGCCAGGCGTCTTGCTGATACGCAGTTTACCAACATCCATATTTGATGGCGCCTTTTCCCATTTCTGTGCAATGTATTTGGGTACTTTGACTAACCAAACGCCACGTCCGGCATTGGATAGATCCAAGTCCTTATCGATGATTTGCACTTTGTCCTTGTCATCCTTAGACATGTTTTCGTTTAAAATTTATTAATGCAACCGCACGTAAAATATGCAATTGCAAAATGTAAATTGCACAGCTGAGGCAACAGAGCTGCCACCAGGGTAGAAAATTACAATGCCAGCATGTTTGCAGAAGACAAGGTTGCGCAGAGAAACTCGCGACTGCAACTGCGTTGAATAAGTGACGTCATATATAAATAGGGGTTGCTAGAAAAATATTATATACTTGCTTGTCATATTGTGGTATTAATGACATAAGATAGCGGAGGTCAACTAGTGAACCAACATTAATATTGTACTTTTTGATTGCTTATCAGATTCAATCATTGTGCCCATCTCTTAATTCAATTTTATAAAAAGGGCATGACTGCCAACTCGGTTTATTGTTCAACAGTGCATCAGCTGATGCAAGTTTCACACGCTGGCTTTTTGCTGCGGGAAATTGTGTTGAGAAAAAGCAGTTAGAAAACGTCGGACTAGTAAATGGCACCGCCTGCAGCACGGGCGCGTTACAATGCCAACAAGGCTGACAACCAGATACTCACCAAGAAACCACCGAAACGATTAAATGGCAACAAAGACATTGCCGGCGATATCGTAGCCGGCAACAAAAAGGAGAAGAAGAAGAAGTACGTACACTGCCGCATAATAAAACACCAATAACATTAACTATGCATATCTTTTAGCAAACAATCGTCGTCCGCTGCGAACTCCGCGGAAAAGACGCAGTCTAGCCCCAATCCTATTATGCCCAGTGTCCACACAGCCTTCAAGACATTCGTGAGCGCGCGCCTTTGCAGCGCCATTTGGGCGTACATTTCTGACTGTGATGAGACTTTCAACTACTGGGAACCGCTGCATTACATCATTAATGGACATGGTTTGCAGACCTGGGAATATAGTCCGCAATTTGGTTTACGCTCCTACACATATCTACTCCTGCAAGGCGTGCCCGGCTGGATCTATCAAAAGCTGTTCAATCCGAGTCCCATTCTCATCTTCTACATGGTACGCTGCATGTTGGGCTTTGGCTGTGCGGTCATGGAGCGCTTTATGTACAAGTAAGTACACTTGGTCAACGTTTAGCGATCGTTATTCAATAGCTGGCTTGTCTTCCAGATCCATATGCCAGGAGTTTGGCATACATGTCGGACGCCTGTGGCTTATTTTCCAGCTGTTTAGTGTGGGCATGTTTGTATCTAGCACCGCATTGTTGCCCTCCTCGTTCTCCATGTATTTTGGCTGTTCTGCTTTGGCCGCCTGGTGGCAGCAACGCTATAGTTTGGCCATCTTTTTTACGGCCATTTCGGCGCTGCTGGGCTGGCCATTTGCGGCGTTAATTGGTGTACCGCTGGTGTTGGATCTGCTGCTACGCCAGCGCGACTGGCGTACTTTTGTGCAGTGGACGTTAATATCCGGCGCAACCATTGCACTGCCCATGATTGCCATCGATACGAGTTACTTTGGCAAACTGACTTTTGCGCCGCTCAACATTGTCTGGTATAATGTGTTCACTAGCCACGGGCCCAATATCTTTGGCACCGAACCTCTGAGCTACTACATCGTTAATGGTTTCTTGAATTTCAATATTATTTGGGTATGTTACTGGGTATGCTAAAAGTATAGACTGTTCCTAATTGTTATCATATTTTTAGCTGTTGGCCCTGCAACTACCCATAATGCTGGTCATGGACTATCTGATTGTTCCCGCCAAATTCAAGTCGACGCTTAATTTTCCGCGCTACATATCGCTGGCACCCCTCTATCTTTGGTTGTTGGTGTTCTTTGCACAACCGCATAAGGAGGAGCGCTTTCTGTTTCCGGTATACCCGCTGATCTCATTGTGCGGCGCCATTACAGTAGACGTTTATCAGCGCATCTATTTCCGCATCAAGTCGGTTATCTTTAAAATCAAGTTGGGAATTCACTATTTGGATCACAGCATGTTCATTGCCATTATCGTGATGGTGACCAGCACTCTGCTGGGCCTTTCGCGCGTCTTTGCGCTTTATCGCAACTATCATGCGCCAATGGATCTGATGCTGGAGCTCAACCAGTTTAAGACAACGCCACAATATCGTGCAGATGAAATTTATAATGTATGCGTGGGCAAGGACTGGTATCGGTATCCGGGCAGCTTCTTTTTCCCGGCTCGCAACTTCCGTTTGCGTTTCCTCAAATCTGAATTCCAAGGCATGTTGCCTGCCTACTATGTGGACGGCCCGAATGCCACCAAGGTTGTGAATCCGTATTTTAATGACCAAAATTTGGAGAACGAGCACATGTACTTCGATTACGACCAGTGTCATTTTCTAATGGACTTTGATGAGGGCAAATATACAACATTGGAGCCGAGCTATTCGAGACGCACGAAGGACTGGTCCATTATGAAGTCTCTGCCCTTCCTCATACCGGAAAAATCACACAAAGTGCTACGTGCCTTCTATGTGCCATTCGTCACCGACAATCACATAAAATACGGCGATTTCAATCTACTTAAGCGCAAAAAGACGCGCAATGGCAGCTAGAAGTGGCATTAACACGATGCCAGTCAATGACCATGCAATCCAAAGCAATTTTAAAATGCAGCTGTAATTAAAAAAATCCACATTTAATTTATATAACCCAAATTAGTATTGGTTGTGTTCCGTTCCTGTTTTGAATTTGAGCAAGTGAAAATGTCTTTTAATATTACCTAATTTTAGTTTGTAAGTTCACCAACGAAATGTTTAACTAAATTTGCCCATTATGCGTTTTTCTATTTTAATCAAGCCAAAGCTGTAAACATTATGCTGAATCGAACTAGAGTTTAAGATCAACGAAAATAAAAGCAATGAGATTCTTAAGGTATGAATTAATATTTGCAATTAATAAGTTGTTCAGGTGCTGTGAGGTTGTGCTGGGATTTTATAGTCATTAGATACGAGGAGAAACCCTCAACTGAAAAGCGAAACTAATTTAAATATCAATTCGATTACCCTATAATTTATAATTTTAATATAATTTGCTGATATGTTAATATGGTTGGACTGATGCATCCGTTAGATGCATAAAATATCGATTTTCATAGCCATGTCAGACTCCTATAGACATTTCTGTAAAAGTTCCGAAAAATAGAAAAAGTTTAGCGTACAAGAACAAAGGGCTAGAGCTTCCCGACATTGAATGATCTTGGGCTTCACCAGTAAAGTAAAGCCCAAATGCGATATCAAGCCTAATCTTAAATCTCTAAACAAAATGAATAACTCTCCCCAGTTACCGATTAATTTAATAGAGTTTATTCTTAAGCTTGTCGTTAAAGTATCGTAAAAAGTGGGAAGCAAAATTGTACAGTAGAATTCGCTTGCTTAGACTACAAGTGCTGGATGTTTACAATGCTATATTTGGTCTACTACATTTACATTGGGCCTAGAACCTAAACGCGACTTAGACTTAGACCTAGTAAATTAATATTTAGCTGCTAGGCCAGCAATATTTACAATATTGAGAACAGCGTTGAGCTGTCCTAGAAGTAGACTGTCAGATTGTTTTCAGATGAGCCCATCGTATCAGATGCGGCCATGAGATTGGAACCAGCTCCGGCTGCACTGCCATTGGCCGTCGTTGAGATGGTTGTCACGCCTCCTGCAACAGCAGCCATCGTCTTGCGATTATTGTTCTCCGGCGTCGTCTGCTGTTGCTGCTGCTGCTGCTGGCCCTGCTGCGAGAGGGAGTCGTGCTCGATTTCGTCCTCCTCATAGAGCTGTCCATTGGCAGAGGCGCGCGATACGATGCCTGGCAAGAAGACTATTTATAGTGAATGCCCTGGGCTTCTGGGGATAAAGGGGGGGTAATTAGACACAACTTACTGCGCACCGTTGCCGCGTAGCTTTCCCTTTGCCGCTCTCGCTCCCGTTCGCGCTCCCGCTCCAACAAGTTGCTGGCACTACTGAGCGCCATGCTGCTGCTGGCGCCGCTGGCCACATGATGCAGCCCGTTGTTGATTGGATTTGCCATAGTGATGTTGCTGCTAGGATGCTTCATATGCAGCACGGAGACACCACCGCTGGTGACGCTGGCGCCGGCGCCGTTGCCCGCCAGCTTTTCGTGCGTCACTAGATTCGCCGAGGAGACGCTACTGTGCGCTTGGCTATGTACACGATTGCGTCCCAGGCTCAGGCCGCCAGGGCTGCTTTTGCGCTGCTTCTTCGAGCGCACAATATAGCAACTGAGTGCCATGATGATCAAGAGAAACAGGCCCACAATCATTCCAAACATGCCCAGCATGCTGTTGTTCCAGGCCGAGTGGGCGAGGGTAAGTCCCTCCATGGTAACGCTCACAGGCACGGAGGTGCTTCTCGGCGGTACACCCGAATCCGTGGCAATGGCAATCAGATGCACCGTAGACTCGTTGAGACTTTGCAGTTGCTCCGGGCGCATATAAATATTGCCCGTCGCATCGATCTCGAAGAGGCCCGCATGCTGCCCACGAAGCGATAGCTCCAGCTTGTCATTGCGATCTCCGTCTGCCGCCTCCACCTTGCCAATTAGTACGCCCTCAAAGGAGTCGGTGCGTGACTGCAGCGACTGCTGGAATCGGAAATTAAATATTTGTTAATTTCATGTGCGCCTCTGAGATCTCAAACTTACGCTCTTGGGCACCATGAACTCGTAGTGTGTCTCGCGGAAGCGCGGTTCCCAGTCGTTGACATCAATCACTTCCAGCGTGACGTCAGCGGAGGTGCTGTTGGTCAGGCCATCGCTGGCTATGACCTGGAACTCGTGTTTGGTCATCTTTTCATAGTCCAACGGCTTGGCTAGCACCAGTTCACCCAGGGAGCCGACGCTAAAGAACTGCGAATTGATTGGATCGGCAATGGTGTACTTCAGATGTTTCCCAGGCTTGTTGGTGGGCAGTGCCAGGATGCGATTACCCACGGCCGTGTCCTCGCGTATGCGCATCACAAAACGCTTCTGGACAAAGGCGAGTGTGCTGAGATCGCTGTGTGTGCCCGGCCGGGTTAGCTGCACTGTGGTCAGGGCGTACCGATCCGGATTGTCTATCTGGGTGGCCTTCACCACCAGAGTGGCGCCGTGCGTAAGATCTGCATAACCAATGGGTGCGAGCAGCGTAATGATGCCGTTGTGCGGATGTACGCGAAAGTATTTCGCGTCCTGGGATTGCACAATGTTGTACTGAATGGGTGCACAGATGCCCTCGTCCTGATCGATGGCTTTCAGTGGTTCGGGACGCATGCGTAACTCGCCGGCGCGACCATCTGCGGGCAGCTCAGCGCTATAGGATTCACGTAAAAACTTCGGATTCTGATCATCCGCATCGGTGATGACCACGCGCAGCAGCGTATCCGAATGTCGTGGTGGTGTGCCCTGATCCTGGGCACGCAACTTGACTGTGAAATTTTGCAGCTGCTCATAGTCTAGTGCCTTTTTCAAAACCAGTGTACCCTCGAGAGGATTGAGAAACTGCACCAGCTCCGCATATGGACCGGGTAGAACCTGATACTCCACCGTGGAGAACGGTCCCGGCTGATCGGCATCCTCGGCACGGGCACCCTGGAGTATGCGTGTGCCCGGCACCGTCACCTCGGATAGGGTCAGCGTGTAGGGTGTGCCAATCCATTGTGGTGCATTATCATTGACGTCCGTTACACGAACATTGACGGGAACAACGAAGCTCTGCAACGAAGAACAAAGCCAGCGAATTGATTGAGAGTTGGGTTCAGGCAAAGATAAACACCTTCAGAGCAAACAATATCCAAGTGCTGGTCAGTGACCCCAAAGCGAGTTCAAAGCGCCAACAGCTAAGGCCTACGGATTCCGGTGCTCCCCTTTACATTGCCCGCCCATAAAACACTGCATATATTTGCATGTTTAGGGTTCTCGAAGCAACCCCCAAAGAACTCCGGAAGTACTAATGGCTAATTTATGGCCACTGCCTGGGCCCAGACGACGAAGCGGCCCAACCACAGGCCGTCGTCCTCGTCAGCACGAAGTGCAAGTAAAAGTTAAGTTGGTTTCTGTTTTGTTGATTCTAAAATTGAAATAGGCGTCGTTGTCTAAAATGTTTTCAATTGTTTATAGAGTACAAGAAATAGCCGCAACTTCTGTATACCTACTCCCAACGCCAATCAGGCTACATGCGAGTGTGAACATTCCGAATCGTGTTTACCCAATTTCATTTAACCACCTCACTTGTACTTGTACTTCGAGATTACGCCCCTTCTGCGGCGGCCCAGCACACGCACACCCAACGTCCGTCCAGAGGGAAGAAAATTAGGCTTCGATATAGGTTAATTGGTTGGCCATTACCAACTGGTCGAGTGCACCGCACGAACGAAAGTTCTGCAGGTGCTGAATGCGGCTAAGAAGTTGATTCCAAGAATCGCCGGGGAGCACCAGATCCCAACCTTTGGTTGGGGCTAATTAAAATGGTCACTAGGTTTCATTGATTGAACCTTTCTTTAATTTTTGTGTTTCTAATTAAATATTGCCAGCTGTGGGACACCCTTTTAGCCTAAAAACAAGTAAGAGGTTTTAGTCGGGAGCTCCCGACTAGGGGATACCCTGAACCCTTTTCTTCAACATCAACTGCATATATATATTCTATTTTAGAAGCTATATGTCAAGTTTGGTGACTCTAGCTCTTATTATTTACCAAAATTGCCCAAAAAACAGGATATCGATATCTTTATCGATTGCTTGGAAACGGAGTAAGTTATCGATTATCGGAAACAAACTCGATCTGCGCGGGAGCTAGGAGCATCTACATCTAAAATTTCAAGTCTCGAGCTCTTATAGGCTCTGAGATCCTTGCGTTCATACATACGGACGGACGGACGGACGGACGGACAGACAAACGGACATGGCTAGATCGACTCGGCTATTGATGCTGATCAAGAATATATATACTTTATGGGGTCGGAGATGCTTCCTTCTGCCTGTTACATACATTTGGATTTTGCACAAATACAATATACCCTTATACCCATTTTTAATGGGTTCAGGGTATAATAAATAACCTATACCTAAGCTCAACAAATTTGATTTGATTTAAAGTTTAATTTTTATGTTTATGTTTTAAAAAACGATTTGGTAATATTGGTTTTATGGATATGTAAAATAGTATCTTTCAAATATAAAATATTCGTTCAAAGGTTGAGGAACACAAGCTACGTACGTTACGTATAGGAGAGCAGGTGAAGAGCTTATTTCATTGTTCTGTACATCCTGTACAGAAATGTTTCTGTATGTACGTATACCGTTTGAAAACTTCCCCCCCTGCGCAGCAAAATAATTAAACGTAATTCTCAATATCGCCTTACTATGCGATTCTCATTAGTTCAAGTAAGACGCGGCTGTATTTTCCTTCGATTATAAGTGTGTGTGTTAACAATCGAATAAACTTTATCTTTGCTATTATTTTTATGCATTCTCTCCATTTTTTTATCTGTCTTTCATTTTATTGCTGATGTTCTTGCTCCTGCTCTTTGTAGAGCTGTCTACTATAAGGGGATGTCCCCATCTTCCTGATAGACACAACTAAAATAACCGTATGTTGGGATATTTAAAGTAAACCAATTAAACACATTTAGATTTAAGGGGTCAAATGCATTAAGAAAAATGAATTTTAAGAGCTGGAAAATTACAAGTATTATTTTTTAAGTCTATATGTAGCACAAGTAACTGTTGCTAATTCCACTTACCGGATCCGTTGAGCGTCTTCGTATACATATGACATTTACATAGATCGACGAGGGTCCTTTTAGACCCTCCTTGTCTAGCTCTACAGATAAAGCCAAATCTTTGGTGCCCGCCACAATCTCCACGGGAGCATTCTTTTCTCTTAGCGACAGATTGATGTCACCAGTGTCTGCGTTGGGATCGCCATTTATGCGCAATTTACCAATTATGGAGCCCACCGCCAGATCTTCAGTAGCTAGAAAACTCTCAGCCGAACCGCCGCCCTCCAGATAACATCTGGAGTCGAGTATCGCTCCTTTTGCGGCTGCAATGAAAATAATAAAAATAGAACAAAGTGAAAATGTGCAAATCGCATTCTACTCTCTCCCTTTCAGCTTTGCTCCATTTTCTCGTTCGCAAGCAATTTGCGAGCTTAAAGTAAATTGTAACGAAATCGCATCAGAGCAGGTCCAGTGTGTTACACTGTCCAACGGCGGACATGTTTGTTCGTACTTTCGATGCGCTCTACTAAGCTTCCGTTTATCTCTCACTCTTTACCAAACGGTTCGCTGCAATTTGGATGTGGCGGCTGTCTGCCAAATCCGAGCGATGTTGGCAGGCATGTTTTTGGTTTGTTTTGAAGACCGCCACCTGCCAGTTCAAGTAGATATACGACTACAAACGTGTAGATTTTGAACTGACCGCCCGGCAACTGCATGAATCATGGACTGAGGATGCGCTTGCATTGTCTCTGTCTTTGCCTTTGTATTTCCGGTCAAGTTCCAGTCTTTAATTGTGTTACTGTGCATTGAGTTCATTCAGCAATTTTCATATTTACTTGCTTTCATATAAATTGCTTTTGTCTAAGTCTGTTTTAGTCTATATGCAGCTTAATCGTTGGTTCGTGTTTTAATTAAATAAATTGTGTGCATTTGTGGCAGCGCCAGTTCGAAAAGTTGGCAGCGCCACTCAAGAAATGGCTATATGCTAAAATAACTGTCAATTGTTAGTTTGCGTTTGTAAACAAACAATGTTCGGCGTTGCCATATGGTATTCATTGGCATGCAAAGACGGCAGCACTGCAAAAACTAAACAGTTAGATCAACAGTAGAAAATGCATTGCGTATGGCAAACTTTTAAAAGTGTTAAGAGAGTTTTAAGTTTATAAAAACGCATATGAGTTTAAAATTTGGTCTTTAACTAACAATACTAGTATACATATGTGCATTCTTTATTTCATATAAACTCTTTTTGATCAATTTTTATGTTTGTACTTTTACGAAACGCTATGTACATATGTATATATGTACATGTGTTCGAGAACATGACATAACACCTTTTCGTAATTACAACTTACGAAAATTAATTAAAAGAAAAATACCAGAGCTGTGCAGTTGTTTCGCATAAAGTGTTCCGGTTATTTTGGAAAAACTAGTTCCTCTGTCTTCGTAAATACATACATACATATGTATGTGTTATGTTTTTGAACAAAAACGTTCTGGTAAGCGGTTTCAAGAGCAAAATGCTAGGGTTCAGCATATGACCCTGACGAGAATTTCTCTTTATACATACATATGTATGTATGTATGTGTCTGTACAAAAGCTGTGGACACATCTGACTGGTGGCGGATGATATACTGACAGCTGTGGTGAAATCTTCTAGCTCGTTTTTGTCTCGTCTCAGTTTCAAGATCTTTATTGTAGGTTAATTGTAATGGCATTGGGCAATGCGTACGATAATATCGTATGTAGACTTTCTTTGACAATTAAATTAAATTTTGTAAATCAGTTAAATTGCCAGTTGAAGTTATATTTTCAGATTTATTTTAAATAAGTTAATGTTTAAAGATATCGTGATAAATCACGTTTGCTCAAATCACTTTCATAAGAAAATGGAAAGTGCTTTTATAGGCAATACGTGTGATCTTATAATGTTATTTTATATCATTATCATGAAATGTAGAGAGAAAGTCTTTTAGTTCTCCACCAATCTAGATACGACCATTAAACTGATACAATTTAGGATAGAACTATTTGTAAAACAGGAATGTGATTTGATATGTTTAAATTCACTTTCGATTTAGATAAACGACAGACATTATAGTTTTAATTAGTAGCTCGTAAGAATTGCATAACTGCATAACATAAGCTGGGACCATTAATTAGTTATACATTTTGTGTAAAGCAAAACTAATTGGAGTCGCCACAAAAACATTACTAACTCTTCCACCAGAGGGTTCAAATATCTGAAGCGTAAATCCGCGAAAGCAGTTGGATATAAAATCGAGAGCATTTTCATTGCCCGAAAAGTCATTACATAAACTTCAAGTGTTTGTTTTTTTTTTCGCAAAGAGTTGGCGCATAATAAAGTAACTAAACGAAAGTGACTACAAAATAAATAAAACAGACAAATTCGGGCAAATATGCATGTACATATATGAAAAGCCGCCTACAATAAATATTATGAATACATTTGCGCAAGAAGCAGCAGAAAGAGAGCAAGAGAGAGAGAGAGAGAGAGAGAGATAGAAGAGTTTTAGTACTAGAGAAAGAGACACACTTGGTTAGATGGGCAGGGAAAAGTTTCAAAGTTACAAAAACAAAAAAAAAAATAAAAAAATAAATAACAAAGTTCAAAAAACAAATTTGTACACCATAGTTGTATGCAATCGGGTTTTGTTTTGGGTTTCTTTGATCAATTTTCGTTCAGCTTGATGATTTTGATGAAAAATGAAATGTTTCGCTCGACGTATATTTGAAACTGACTTTTGGATTTGAATGTATGTAACTCGTGGTTGTTGTGGTTGAAATTGCCGTAATCGTAATCTTGTTGCTGTCTCTGATTGTCGACGCAACTCCATAAGTTCTATACGGCTAAACAAGATAAGCAGACGCAAATTTCGCAATCAATTTGTGGCACAGGTCAAGCCGACGAACCGGCAAAGACAAAGGCTGTGACAATGCCATTAAAGAGTTTGTAAACTGGCCGAGATTCTACAGTTCTTCGCAATCAGTGATGTATGACAATGTAATGAACCGAAATTAATGCACTGAATAGAACTGAGAAACTGGAACAGTTGGTAAATAACTTTAACTTTAAGAACAACTTAATGGCCGCTCCGGTGCCCGAATTGTGTTCGAGTGGAGCTCTGCTCCAGAAAACGCTCCAAACGCTATTTGCATAGTCGTAGACCCCCCATTGAAGAGCTCTGTTTACGTTTCGTTTATCCGTAAGTCACGTAAATACTTTTATTCGTCATAAATCGTTGGACCAGAACCGCCAGCCGCCGTTGACGTGTTTTCAGAGTCTTTAGTTTATATTGTTTCTTGTGTAGCTTTTCCCTGCTGTAAATTTATAGAGTCTGCACGACGTCATTTACCTTTTGGAATTTCACTATTTTGCAGTTTGTTAGTTTTTACTTATAAGGTTACATGCGGCTAATTGCTTTGTTTGTACGGAAAACAAGAGTAACGCACAAATTCCAGCAATCAACTTCCGAAATGTCAAAAACTGAAAAGAATTTGCTGCTAATTTTGAAAACGAGAGCACTTAAAATATATTTTCTGTTCAAGTTGTCAACTTACCACAAGCAATCCAAGAAATTCCACAAATTGTATAGCATAAGGAATAAAGTTTTATCCACATTTTGTGCGCTGGTCTCGTACTGAACTTTCAAATCGAATTGTATATGTATATACTTGAATATCTTAAAGCACCATAACCGAAACTTCTGGGATCATACGGGTCTTTCCTTAAATTGGCTCAGCTTATAATTGAGCATAATTCAGGCAATTTCGAGGGACTTTATATTGCATATATTTTATTGTAATTATGTTGTAAACTTCACACTTTTGCTGGCTTTTTCTATTTATATGTATGTACGTAATAGTTGTTGTTATTACCCTTTTTCGCATATCCTACATTCACGTTCACATTACATTGTTTATTTGCTTTGATTTCTGTTCGTTTTCACACGAGTTCTTTTTCAGTCCCTTGGCTGCTTTACAATTCCATATCACCGATGTGCTATAAACGTTTTACATGTGGAATTTATGCGCAGTTCGTTTTTGTTTCAAGTCTTATTCCGCACCTGCGATGATTACCAAGGTATATAGTTATAAATTGGGTCTGTAATGTGATATGACCTACAAAGTGTGGGAGGGCTGCGCTAAACGCCTGTCAGCCTGCTGGATAGATAGAGATAGAGATGAGAAGAGAGATAGAGACAGAGAGAGAGAGAGAGAGAGGGAGAAACGTCTAGATTATTACAAGATTATTAGCCAGACAAAACATTTTAGCACAGAAACCAAAGCAACTGGAACATTAGCCGACCTCCCAACCGCCCAGCAGTTCTTCTTGGCTTGTGCCACAAATGTCGCACACATGTCAACCGAGTTGTTCTTGGTTTTTCATGGTGCTTCTCTTGGTTGGTTGCCACCACATTGGCTTTGTTGTTCGCAGTCGCAATTGGCGGCATTTTACCTAACAGTCACTTATTGTCTGGCATTTGTTGCTGTTTCCTTGGTTCCGGCATGCCCGCATATTTCTGTGCTATGTACAAACATTTTTGCCGCCACTCGGCACCCAACAGCAGGAGACTTGGCCAGCAGCGCTTCCTTATGCCACCTGACCGTTATGTGGCCACCAAAACTGTGGCTGCAAATACCTCGCTGGCCGTTGGCGTTTGGCAGTTTAGGCGAAAATGAAAACGCTTTTGACCGGAAGTCGCGGAAGCGCACGTTAAAAGTCATTCACCTGGGTAAAACCCTATTTGCATTTTCCCATATATGCAGCGGGTTTTCGTATATAACACACAGTCCCTGGACAACAAGATTTCCCATCAGATGGTGTCCAAAGGATTGAATTGAGTTTAGCAAAGGAATTAGTTGTCGCAAAAGGGAGTAAAACAGTTTTGAAACAAATCGAATGAAAATCAAGCTCAAAAGTAGATGATTAATTCAAATCACTTTATAGACCCAAATAGGGCCCCTTTAGCCCTCCCCGTTGGGTCGAAGGACTGGTAAGAGTCATCTAAGTTGTCTACAAGCAATTGGTCTGTCATTTTTTGAAGAACTTTGAAATTTACTCATCATCAATAGAAAACACAAAAAAAAAATCGGACTAATATGTATTATTTATAGAAAATAAACATCGAATTTACTCTCAAATATTTCGAAAGATGCATCTGTATTTAAAAATGCGTTAACTTAAGAGTTATTATAATTGTTTTATTTCACAATCATTATTCGTTAAGGATCTGCATTCTTGCTTCAATTGTATTAACTTTCAGCTTTATTTATTTTTGTTTTAAACTTCGTTAGATTTGTGCACAAATAAGGCTTATATCCAGAGTCATTCGCTGCGTAGCGTTGCGCGTTTAGCTACTCGAACTACACATGCAGCCACATCACGCTCCGAACACAAACTGATTTTCCATAATGTTGCCAAAGCAGGGAATGCCCCCTAACAACCGGGCAGAGGCAACATACAACAGCAACAGCCTGTAATGCCGGTGCGTTTGCCTCAGTTGTTGTTGGCCATATACCCTATACTATGAGGAGTACATATATGATGAGCGTCGGTTGCGTCTGAAGACTCTCTGGGTCTGGGTTGTATGTTGCATTTTTGCTGTTGCTTTTGCTCGATTTAGCTGTTGTTGTTAGTGTGTTGAAAATGTTTCCACATCACTCGTCAAGCGTTTCCATTTGAGCTCTTCATAAAAAACAACAAAAAACGTAAGGAACAAAAAAAAAAAACAGCAACAACAACAAGAAATGTTGGCTGACAGTGGTTGAAAGCAGATACTATGACTACCATGGCGACTACGCGCACGCGCCCATGCTCAGATGCCCAAATTGCGACGCTCAATGGGCCAGTCTGTATGGAGCTGTGAGCTGGTAGCTGGGATTGCTGCTTATAGAGGGCACAAGCTCGCACTTCTTTTCGCTGTCTATAGACTTTTTTAGTGTTCGACTAACCCTTAGTTTCGGATTCACCTGTATCTTCCGTTGTCAAATAAGCCGCTGCGTTGCGCTTGACTGAGCCGGCACTTGGAACCCCTATGACCAGGGAGAGGGCTTTTCGACTAGCTCTCTGTTTACATTGCAATTTCTCGCCTTGGCAACCAAGGCGTCCTGGCCATTCCCGAGCCGGTGTGTTGCTCCTTTATGTGCATGTGCCATGACTCAGTGACATTGCATTTGCATGCCGTTAATTGCTGTAATTCGAACTGGACGATGACGGGTTCTCCACACATAATTGCGCTGCGTTGGCTGGGAGCTCCCCTTTAAGCAGTTATATACTTTTTTATGTCAAAAGGAACGTTTTCCTGTACAGTTTCTTGTTGGCTTTACATAGTTTTAAGTGGTTTTTGGGCCATGCTTTCATTCGATTGTTCTCAACGGTTTTTGCTTTCCTCGAGTAGTGACAGGCAACACTTTTGACTTTTGACTTACTTTATGGCTAGCGGGTCGATTATGCTTGCTTTATTGAGCTTTAAATAAGTACTTCTGGAATTTTTAACATGTCAAAGGTTTTAAGGGTTGTGCAGGTTATTTTACACCTACATGACTGGACTGTATGTGCTTAATTATTGCTGTGCTACAATCAGTAGATCCCATATTTACTTAAAATGCCTTTAAAAAGGAATATTTTTTTTGGCACTTCCCAGGGCGTTTCATTAAAGGATTTTTGCTTAAATTGGTAATCATTTCAACTTATGCATTAAAATCAGTTCAATACTTTAAATTATTTACGTAAATAATAATTTTGCTAAATTTCATGTGCTGCTCTATAGCTCTGTGTGGCTGCGCTTGTTGTATAAACGCTCGCAGAGCCGCGCTAGAGCCTGCGATACTTCCAACCGATACTCATCCTGGCTGTGTGCGAATCTGTTGCGCATGGTGAGCAGTGCATGTCGCAGAGCCGCACTTTGTGACCAGAGTGGTTGGCACAGACTGTTGGTGTTCTCTAGCGCATCTGTAAATTGTTCCACCACCTCTGGTTGGTCCAGAAAGTGCACATAATCCTTGCTGAGCACTGCCTCTAGGGCGGCACAATATCCGTGTGATGGTAGCCACGACTCAAACTCTATAAGCACATATTGCGCCAAAGTTGAGACGGCATCCGACGACTCTTTGCTAGCTTCGATCACAAATCGCTTCTCTAGAACCAAGTCGCTAAGCAGTGTAACCACTTTGGCCTTAGTGCGCAGTTCTATCTCTGTGCTGCGCAGGACACCAATCAGTGCCTTTGTGCCCGAGGTGGACAGGATGCGCTGCTGAGCCAATGGAAACTTGCGCAAAAGCGCACCAAACGCATGCATGGCCGAGGAGATTTCTGAACTACTGGTTGAGGACATGAGGATTTGCGCCAGATGTGAACCGAAATTGCGTTCAAAGACCTTAATTTGCGCCTTGGGATTGTTGCCGGCCAGGGCGCCCAAAACACGCATCGCAGAAACGCGCAAATCTGTGTTGGTATCGTTCACCACAATTGGGAGGAGGACATCGTCCAGCCCACCACTATCAATAAAAACGAGAGCATTGTCAATCTGATGCAGCAGATACTCAAGATTCTCCAGAGTATTCAGCTTGGCCTTCAGCTCGGACTCAAGGGGCGTTTTGCTAAAATTTCGATATTGTTCTATCAGCTGAACGATCAGCTCGCCGTCAGTGCGAAAGTTCTTTTGGAAATCCTTATAGGCTTTGCGCAGCTCCGCATAGCTGCGATCTTGCTTCACCTTGCGCACCGACTCCTCAATGATGTCCGCCTTGTACTCCAGCGACAGCGGTTCATTTGCCGATCCTGCATCGTCGTCGCCGGATTGATTCTGAATTGCAGTACTACGTTCGCTTTCATCCAGTAACTTGGCTTCCTTAAGGCCTGTCTGCAGATTAATGCGCACGTGTAGTCCCTTCGGTATGGCTTGACCTGAAAGATTATTGCCATTAATGGTAGTCCAATTGATTGGTACACGTAATAAAAACCTTCGGCTACCACCTGCCATTCATCTGTGGCAATGAATTCGGCGGTTTTGTTTACATGCTCTGATGATGACACTTGCAGGCAGCCGAGCGCCAAGACAGCGGCTATTGTTGCGTATACGATGGAAGTGTGCATTTTTTCTGATTCTAATATATATACTTTAGTCCTGAATATAATCTCGACTAACTATTCTGCGGTTATTCCGGCTTTCGTAAAACGTCGACATGCCGCCAGTGTTGTATAGTGATATGTTTGAAGCTGACGTATCGATAGCAGTGTTATCGATGTGTCAGCGAGACTTATTTTTAATAGTCTGGCTACGCCATGGCTACCTTCAAGTACTTTTCTTAACTGTCTGGCCAACACATATTTGATATCCGTTATAATAAAATTCGTTTGAATTGCATACAAACATAGAAGCCAAGCATTTAGTTTTACACTTAATTTGTGTATTTATTATATCAATTAAGTACCATGTCAAAGTCATGACAACGAATTAAAAAAACACACTTGTACAATTATTGCTTAGTGTCACTTTTCATCTGTTCCCAATGTGATTAAACTGGTTTCCTTTAGTACTAGAAATGTATATCAGTCATTCTGTACGTCACTAGCATATTGTATTAATATTAATGGCTTCTCTAATACTATAAATGTATGCAAATGAATTCATATTTCGAGCGTCAATATCAATAAAACACGGGCGACTTTACATAAATGATTTGGCAAATTTTTGTTTTGTTTTCATGTCTATTAATTGTAATCGACGATTCCATCAAATGTAAACTACGAAAGCGTCTCGGAATTTGTTCCCTAAACAAAATAAATGCCAAAAACTGGAAAAATATATGCGTATTTATATTTATTCAAATATGTATGCATATGAAGTCATATGGCTGTGGCGCCAATTGGAGGTGTAAATAAACAAATTGCAGGCAATGTTTTCATATTTCTGGCTACAGGTGTACAATATGCTAAATACCGATGACG